ATAGGCCTGAACTTTATATTGCAAATGATCAAATCCAATTTAAAGTAGCCTGGAAAAAAGAGTTATATAAGAGACTTCCTTGGGTGTATTGGGAAGTTATTGGGCTATCTCACTAATTCAGTGCACCAGTTGTAAAGAATAAGAGACTTTGCCGTTAGAAATACTTGAATCTTTGTTACTTTGCCTTTATAGGCTAGATACTTCCTTTAGAACTAGGTAAAATAGTCAAAGGTCCAGTCCCAGTTCACATGTGAGTTAAGCAATTACATGAAGACCTGCTTTCTCCTATTCACTAGCCCATTACTTAACAATTATGTTCATGAGGATGAGGGACAGTAATTGGTTTGCTCTGGGCAGGAGGAGGAGAATGGGCAGGCATGCCACTATGACAGCGTAGTTAACTACTTCACAGTTGGTTTGCCTTCAGATAGACTTATATTATAAGACATATGAAAAATATATAGATAGGTGACAAGATGGTTTGGTACAGCACTTGCTACACAGCACTGAGGACCTGAATTTGAACCCCAGGACTCTTGTAAAGGTTGAAGGAGAAAACTAATTGCATAGAGTTGTCCTCTGACCCCCATGTGTGCACTCCTACACATACATCATACATACATACAATAGCAATATGCAAAGGTATATGAAAAAAGTCATCTGTTCTACATTCTCATGAATTCCTTCTGCATATCTTCTTACACACAGTTACAACTATGTTATAGTGTTAGTTTTCTCACTATTTATAACACTGGCTGGATTTAAACTGCAGATTCTTCTGCCTCTCCCTCCTAAATGTTGGGACTACAAATTTGAACTTTTTTTTTTGTTAAGCATAGTTTCTCTTTTTGAATTTCTGATTTATCAATTTATTTACCTATTAGCATCTTTTTAGTTTGGACTTCTTAGGAGAATTATAAAACAAAACAGTTTCATTTAAAATTTCCGTTTATTGCATTTTATTTAACTTCATGTGCCTGCATGTGTATGTGTGCCACAGTGTTCCTGTGGAGGTCAGAGGACAACTTGGAGTCACTTTTCTTCTACCATGTGGGTCCTGATGAGTGAACTCAGGCTGGTGGCAGCCTTTACCCTCTAGGCGACTTCAGTGGCCCCACACACATATTCATTCTTCTACCATCTGGATTTTGATAGATTGTTTTCTCTTTCCTTTCTCCCTCTCTTCTTCCCCCTTCCCTCCATGTGTGTGTCCCTGCAAGTGTGTGTACAAAGGATGGCAAAGGATAAATCCAGGTGTCAGTTTTCACCTTCCATCTTGCTTGTAACCTGACTTGCTGTTGTTAGTTCTTGTGTGCACAGGTTAGCTACCCTATAAGCTTCTGGGGAGTCTTCTGTCTTTGTATTCTATTTTACAGGAGCACTGGCATTACAGATGCCAGTTCTGGTGACAAACTCAGGTCCTCATGTGAGGCAAGTCATGTTGTCCACTGAGTTGTTACCCCAGCTTTGTTTTCTGATATTTTAAGTGTGTGTGTGTGTGTGTGTGTGTGTGTGTGTGTTTGAGTGCAGGTGCCCGTGAAGGCCTGAGGAGTCAGATTCTCTGGAGCTGGAATTACAGGTGGTTGTGAGGTACCTAGTGTGGGTGCTGGAAACCGAATTTAGATTCTTTGTAAGAGCAGTACATACTCTATACTCCTGAGCTACCCCTCTAGCCCCTTATTTTTGAGACAGGATCTCACTGTGTAGACAAGGATGGCCTTGAACTCTTGAAGTCACAGAGCACTGCCTGCCCCTGCCTCCTGAGTTCTAGGATTTAAAGGCACACCACCACACCTAGCACTTTTTTATTTTGTTAATTCATTTATGGGGAGGTGGGCTTGTATTGTGATTTGTGTGTGGAGTCTAGAGGGCAACTAATAGGAGTCCATTCTCTCAACCATGTGAGATCTGAGGATGGAACTCAGGTCATCGGTTTGTTGGCAAGTGCCTTACCAGCTGAGCCATCTTACTGGCACCTGTTTTCTTATTTTTAAGCCTATAAGTTCTTGGCTTTCAGAGAGCTTATAAAACTCATTTTGTTACACTGTTTTGGCTATAGCTATTTGATCTTTGTAAAATTTATTTTAAAGAAGCATACATTTATTCTTCATATTACTAGTGCTTTGGAGTTTTATATAGGCTCTAAAGTTATTAGAAGTATAGTTTTTCAGGGCTGGAGTGATGGCTCAGGGCTTCAGAGCACTGTCTTCTTCCAGAAGCACTGAGGTTTGAGTCCCAGCTGTAAATTCTAGTTTCAGGTGATACCCTCTTTTGGCCTCTGCAGGCACTGCACACAGGTGGCACACAGACATACATGCAAAAGACTCATACACATAAAATAAAAATAAGAGGGGCAGGGGCTGGAGAGATGGCTCAGCATTTATCGCATTTTGATACTCTTGCAGGGAACTAAGGTTTGATTCCCAGCATCCATATGATGCCTAAGAACCATCCATAAATGGTTCCCAACATCCTCTTCTGGCCTCTGAGGGCACCATGTGTGTATATGGTAAACACACACACACACACACACACACACACACACACACACACACACACACACGGAAAAGCACTCATACATTTAAATCTAAAACAATATTTTTTTTAAAAAATGGAAAAGTTAAAAAAACAGTTACTGGAAGAAAAATGCTGTTTTAAAGCTGTTTTTAGTTGTTTCTGTAAGCTAATGGTTCTTGATTTATTGTGAGGTTTAAAGACAATGGCAAGTAACAAAGAGTCTTTACTAACGAACTATCTTAGTAATGAAAAAGATCTTATCTGACAGATCTAAACTTTATCATAAGAGTTAAAAATTTACACAATACTTGTGATTAGCCTTCTGTTATATAATCAAAGCATGTGTAATTTTCTCCTGGAAATAGTATTTACCCATTAAGAAAATTATGGCAGAAATCTGATTAAACACCGAGAAAATTCTAGACTTTCAGACAGCCTGATGTTTTGAAAAAGCTTTGTGCGTTGGCAGGAGCCCAAGAGAGGAAGTGCCTGCATCTGCTACATTCTAGAAGCTTTCCCCAGATCACTGTAAGGCAGCCAAGAAAACTGTAATTCACCAGTGTGTGATTCTGGAAGTATCTGGAAATTTGTAGCAAACTTGAGTGAGGAAATACAGGAGTTCTTCCAGAATGCCTTTTTATTGTGATGATCTATTTTTATTGAGATTCACCTTAAGGGTGAAGTTACTTTTCAGCTTTTATGAAATAGGGGGCTTTCAGTTAGGCCTCTGAAAAGCCTATTCACATGGGAAAAGCAAATTCACATGGGAAAGATCAGAGAAATACCTATCAGAACAGGTTGCCAAGTCAGCCTAAGTGATGGGAACCTGCTTCTTGAAGCAAGTAGTACTGTAATGATAATGTACTGGGCTGTAAAGCAGTGAGAAAGCCCATGTTTTTGGTAGAGGAGGAGGAAGAGTGCTAGGTAGGGTCGGTAGTTGGTAAAGCAAGGCAGAGCCTCTCATTGGTTACTCTTTATCATGAGTAGTCCTCTCTAGAGATGACTGTTTGCTCTCAGGGACAGTGGAAAAAGACAGAAGGCAGGGGTGGCGAGAGACTCTGCGTTTAAAAGATTGTGAAGACCAGAGTTCAAACCCCCAGAATGCAGGTAGTATGCCAAGTGGGTATGACAGTCTGCCTGGATTCCAACCTTAGATGGCAAAGACCTGATCCCTAGAGCAAGCTGGCTACAGAGACTGGCCTTATGAATGAGCCTAAGGTTTGGTTGAAAGAGCCTGCCTCCATGAATGATACAGAAGGGTGATTGGGGAGATTCTAGACATCAACTAAAGGCTGTGCATACACACACATGTGCATCACACAAAGAATAAAAACAAGAGCTTTACCACAGGTTGAATTAGGGGAAAATCACAGCTGTGTATTAGACTTGGGTGGTTTTGGTTTGTTTTTTAAACATAGTAAGAGAAGTTAGCCCTTCTTAACAACAAAAACAAAACAAATAATGACAGCAAAACCTCCTTTGTCCAAAGCTAATCCTCCAAACTATGTCTTTAAGAGAAATTAATAGTTTAAATGTATAGGACAATTAATTCTGGTATTCTCCACAACTTAATAGCATTGTGGTGAAGGGGAAAGCTCAGTTGATATAGTGCTTATCATGTTCTGGGTTCCTTCTCCAGTACCACATAAACAGGGCATGGTGGTACATACCTGTGATCCCAGTATTGGGATCAGAAGTTCTAGATCATCCTTGGCTACATAGGAAGTTCAAGGCAAGCCTGGATACATGAGATTCTGTCTCAAACAAACAAAACATAACATAGCTTCATCCATTTTTAATTAATATACCATATAATTCTCTCTCTTTCATCATTCTTGACTCAGCACTTTCAGAGTTATGAAATAGTCACCTCTATTTTAGAACATTTTTATCACCTCCAAATCCACAACTTTGAACTTAAAGTTTAGAGCCATATTTGGGAGCCTGGCACACCTTTAATCTCAGCACTCAGGAGGCAGAGACAGGCAAATCTCCATGAGTTCAAGGGCAGCTTGGTCTATGGAGTAACATATCGGTGATGTTTAAAGCATATCTTTGTGGGAAAATCATGTTTTAGATCAAGATCAAAGAGGAAACTATTTTTCATACTATGTAAAAAGCCACAGCTGGGCCTGGAAAGATGGCTCAGCTGTTGACAATGTTTTCTGCTCTTCCAGAGGACCTTAGTTCTATTCCCAGCACCCATATCTGGTGACTCACAACTGCCTCTGGCCCACAAGGACACCCATGCTTGTGTGCATAACTATACAGTTAAGAATAATAAAAATAAATCTATACAAAATACCATAGCTGTTTAGTTGCTCTACTTGTAATAGTAGCACGAAAACAAGTTGGGGTTGAAGTTTTTCTCTAATAAGGAACATCTAACTGTTGAAATCATAAATTAGCTGTTATTAAGTTGATTATAAAAATCAGCATCAGTTCAGGCCTGGAGACTAACTGCCATGTTGTTCTTGTAGGTGTGTGAACCTGAGAAGTCTTCAAAGATGATCTGGTGTGTTTTAATGTTGGGGATTCTACTTCCCCAATCTTCAGCCCATCCAGGCTTTTTTACCTCAATTGGTAAGTCTTTACCATTTATAACTTAGAATGTTTTACATTTTAAAATTTAAATGCTTTTGTAGTTTTAAAATAGTAAAACAAATGCACTGTATTCCTGAAGACTAACCTTGGTTTACCCCATGCCTACCTAAACAGGCAATTTAAAAAAAAAAAAAAATCAGTTACGTTTGTTGAATACACTATAAAAGTCCAGTGCCTGGGCAGCAACTAAAGTAGTATCTGGTTTCCTTCAAATTAATTTTTCCTGAAGAGAATAGTGTTATGTTTTATGCTTAGAAACTTAGAATAATTTAGAAAAACATACCAAAGAGTTATTGATAGTTGGATGTGCCAGTGCATGATGATAATACCAGGACTGGAGACAGAGGCAGGTGGATCTCTGAGTTTGAAGCTGAGCTGGTCTGAATAGTGACATCCAGGCCAGCCAAGCTATGTAGTGAGACCCTATTTTAAAAAACAAAATAAAAAAGAGAAAGGGATAATCACACATAATTAATGTAGATATATACCATTTTTAATGCACAGATACACAATAATTCTACACATTTCTTTCTCTGTCTACCTCATTTTCTCTTTCCTTTCTTTCTGGATTTTCAGACAGGGTTTCTTTGTGTAGTCTTGGCTATCCTGGAAATCACTCTGTATGTCAAACTGGCCTTGAACTCTCAGAGATCTGCATGTTTCTACCTCCTGAGTGCTGGGACTAAAGATGTGTGCCACTACCCTGGTCTGCACATTACTTTCTAACTTGCTTTTACTTCACTGTAAACATGTTATTTTTTTCCACATCATAATTTTTATGATTTTTTTTAAATTTAAATTTGAAACAAGCTTGTATTACACGTCAATCCTAGTTCCCTCATCCTCCCCTCATCCCTTGCCCCCCCCCCACCAACCCCAATCCCATCTCCTTTCTGCTCCCCAGGGAGGATGAGGCCTTCCATGAGGATCTTCAAAGTCTGTCATATCATTTGGAGCAGGGCCTAGGCCCTACCCCATGTGTCTAGGCTGAGAGTGTGTCCCTCTATGTGGAATGGGCTCCCAAAGTCCATTTGTATACTAGGGATAAATACTGATCCACTACCAGAGGCCCCATAGACTGCACAGTCCTTCTAACTAACACCCACAATCAGGGGATCTGGGTCCGTCCAATGCTGGTTTCTCAGCTATCAGACTGGGGTCCATGAGCTCCCCCTTGTTTAGGTCAGCTGATTCTGTGGGTTTCTCCAGCCTGGTCTTGAACCCTTTGTTCATCACTTCTCCTTCTCTGCAACTGGATTCCAGGAGTTTGGCTCAGTGTTTAGTTGTGGGTGTCTGCTTCTGCTTCCATTGGATGAAGAAGGTTCTAGGATGGCATATAAGGTAGTCATCAATCTCATTATCAGGGAAGGGCATTTAAGGTAGCCTCTCCCACCATTGCTTAGATTGTTAATTGGGGTCATCCTTGTAGAGCTCTGGACATTTTCCTAGTGTCAGATTCTCTTTAAACCTATAATGGCTCCCTCTATTATGGGATCTCTTTTATTGTTCTCTTCTATTCTTCCCCTGACTCAATCTTATTGCTCCTTCATGTCCTCCTCTCCCCTCCTGTTCTCACTTTCTCTTTGTCCTAACTCCCTTTCAATTTGCTCGGAAGGGGGACCATGTATGTCTCTCTTAGGGTCCTCCTTGTTTTCCTAGATTTTCTGGCTGTGTGGATTGTAGGCTTGTGATCCTTTGATCTATGTCTAAAATCCATATATGAGTGAGTACATATCATGTTTGTCTTTTTGTGACTGGGTTACCTCACTTAGGATGGTTTCTTCTAGTTCCATCCATTTGCCTCGAATTTCAAGATTCCATTATTTTTTTTTTCTACTGAGTACTACTCCATTGTGTAAATGTACCACATTTTCTTCATCCATTCTTCAGTTGAGGGGCATCTAGGTTGCTTCTAGGTTCTGACTATTACAAATAATACTGCTATGAACGTAGATGAACAGAAGGCCTTCTTGTACATCTTTTGGGTATATGCCTAAGAGTGCAATTGCTGGATTTGTGGTAGACTGATTCCCATTATCCTTAGGAACCACCATACTGATTTCCAAAATGGCTGTACAAGTTTGCACTCCAACCAGCAGTGGAGGAGAGTTGTCCTTTCCCCATATTCTCTCCAGCATAAACTGTCTTTGATGTTTTTTATTTTAGCCATTCTGACAGGAATAAGATGATATCTCAGAGTTGTTTTGATTTGCATTTCCCTGATGGCTAAGGATGCTGAGCACTTTCTTAAGTGTCTTTCAGCCATTTTAGATTCCTCCATTGAGAATTCTCTATTTGGTTCTGTATCCCACCTTTTAATTGGATTATTTGGTGTTTTTGTAACTAGCTTCTTGATTTCTTTGTATATTTTGGAAATCAGCCCTCTGTCAGATGTGGGGTTGGTGAAGATCTTCCCAGTCTGAGCTGCTGTTTTGTCTTGTTGATTGTGTCCTTTGTCTTACAGAAGCTTTTTAGTTTTAGGAGGTCCCATTTACTAATTGTTCATCTCAGTGTTTGTGCTACCGGTGTTATGTTCAGGAAGCAATCTGTACCAATTGTTCAAGGGTACCTCCCACTTTTTCTTCTAAGAGGTTCAGTGTGGCTGGATTTGTGTTGAGGTCTTTGATCCATTTGGACTTAAGTTTTGTGCATGGTGATAGATATGACTATTTGCAGTCTTCTACACACCAACATCAATTATGCCAGCACCATTCGTTGAGTGAAGATGCTTTCTGTTTTCCATTGTATAAATTTAGCTTCTTTGTCAAAAATCAGGTGTTCATAGATATGTGGGTTAATATCAGGGTTTTCAATTTGATTTTTGCGCCAATACCAAGTTGTTTTGAGGAATATAGCTCTATAATAGAGCTTGAAGTCAGAGATGGTGATGCCTCTGGAAGTTCATTTTTGGTCAAGGTTGTTTTGGCTATCTTGGGTCTTTTGTTTTTCCATATAAAGCTGAGTATTGCTCTTTCAAGTTCTGTGAAGAATTATGTTGGGATTTTGATGGGGATTGCATTGAATCTGTAGATTGCTTTTGGCGAGATTGTCATTTTTACTATGTTGATCCTACCTATCCAAGAGCATGGGAGATCTTTCCATTTTCTGGTATTTTCTTTAATTTCTTTCTTTAAAGACTCAAAGTTCTTATTATATAGGTCTTTCACTTGCTTGGTTAGCATTACCCCAAGATATTTTATGTTATTTGTGGCTATTGTAAAGGGTGACGTTTCTCTGATTTCTTTCTCAGCCCCTGTATATAATAGGGCTACTGATTTTTTTGGGGGGGGGGAGAGTTAATCTTGTATCCTGCCACTTTGCTGAAGGTGTTTATCAGCTGTAGGAGTTCTCTGGTAGAGTTTTTCAGGTCACTTATGTAAACTGTCATATCATCTGTAAATAGTCAAAGTTTGACTTCTTCCTTTCCAATTTGTATCCCCATCACCTTGATCTCCTTCTGTTTTCTTATGCTCTAGTTAGAATTTCAAGTACAATATTTTAGAGATATGGAGAGAGTCTTGTTCCTGATTTTAGAGGAATTGCATTGAGTTTCTCTTCATTCAGTTTGTTGTTGGCTTTTTTTTTTTTTTTTTTTTTTGCTATATTTTGCTTTTATTATGTTTATGTATGTTCCCGTTATCCCTAATCTCTCTAAGACCTTTATCATGAAGGGGGTTGAATTTTGTCAAAGGCATTTTCAGTGTTTAGTGAGATGATCATGTTTTTTTTTTGTTTTTTTTTGTTTTTTTTTTTTTTTTTTCAGTTTGTTTATATGGTGGATTATATTGATGGATTTTTGTATGTTAAACCATCCCTGAATCCCTGGGATGAAGCCTACTTGGTCATGTTGGATGATTTTTCTGATATGTTCTTGGATTTGATTTGCCACTATTGTGTATTTTTGCATTCATGAGGGATATTTTAAAAATATAAAAAAAAAATGATGCTAAAGCTGGGCAGTGGTGGGTACTCCTTTAATCCCAGCATTCTCTGTGAGTTCAAAGCCAGCCTGGTCTACACAGTGAGTTCCAGGACAGCCAGAGCTATACAGAGAAACCCTGTCTCAAACAAACAAAATATGTGGTTAGAAGTGGGGTTTGTGTGGGGTGGGACTCTAAGGAGCAAGTTCATAGATTATAAGATCTCCTGTGCTTCCTTGTTCTTAGAATAGGCCCTAAAGTTTGAGCTATGGCTTTCTATAATTCCCTCTCTCTATAGTGTGTGTGTGTGTGCTTGCTTGCGTGCGTGTGTTGAGATGTTTCCCTTCCTTCTTTTAACCATTTTGCACCTTTTAAAAATTTTAGAACTAAGACAGAAATATAAATATTTCTAAAGTGATTTCTGTGTAAAAAAAAAAAATTAAAACATTTTTGCAACTTTTTAAAGTGTTTTGATCAAAAATTTGATCCCAACTGATCTTGAACACAAAAGGTGATGTATAAAGAACAGAGGCAGTAAAGAAAAAAACAGTAATTCTTGGAAAGTAGTGTTACTTATAAATGAAAACACCATTTCCCAACATAGTCTAAGTTTGTAAAATTATTAGTTATAGAAACTAGAACTGGATCTCATGATTAGATTTTTATTTGGATTAATTTTGGTTTATCTGGTGAAAAAAGAGGGGGAAATGATCTGTTCTATTTCAAGTAAACCCTCCTGTAGCTAAAAGATTCATATTGATGGATATTTAATAACCTTTCCCTTCCCATATAGGTCAAATGACTGATTTGATCCATACTGAGAAAGATCTGGTGATTTCACTCAAAGATTATATTAAAGCAGAAGAGGACAAGTTAGAACAAATAAAACAGTAAGTGTGTTTTCCTCCTATAGCTCCAGTTCTCCTCTGCACTAAAGCCTCAAGTGGAAACGAGAGCCAGTTAAAATGTCTAAAGCAGTGAGCACTCAGTCTAAAGCAGTCAGGGCTCATGTGTTTCAGCTATGTGTATGTGTTTATGTTAGCAGGTGCAAGTGCATATTTGTGTACAGGTCAGGGGTTAACAGTAGGTGCCTTCTTCTATTGCTGTTTTCTTATTTTTTGAGACAGGGTCTCTTAACCTGGCAAGGCTAGTTGGCCAGTAAGTTTTAGGGATCTTCTGTTTCCACCTCCCCAGCACTAGAATTAACAGAAACACACCACTGTTGGCAGTAGCGAGCAGAGAGAGCAGGCTTCCTCCTTCCCTAGTCTGTATAGGTGCTGCCTGCATTCAGGGTAGGTCTTCCCTACTTAGTTAATCATCTCTGAAAACATCCTACAGGTATTATTTAAGAGGTACTTTTCAATATAATGATGCTGACAGTCAAGATTAACCATCACAGTGTAGAAGAAAAGTCATGCCAGTATCTTCCAACATAAGGCATGACATACTGGAGTAGTTTTCCAGTTCTACTTATGGGAGTCCATTGTAGAGCTTGTAATAAGCATGATTAATGTTATCTAGTGTTAAAACCATGTAGTTTTTCTTGAGTGTTAATTTTATTGACTCAGGTTCATAATTAATCCTAAATTGAGAATTTGTGCTTTGTTTAATGAATGCCTTAGTATTGATGTTTTTGATTTTTGTGTGTGTGTTTTGAGACAGTCTTACTGTGTTGCACTGGCTGGCCTGAAACTCACCGAGATTGACATGCTTCAGCCTGTTGAGTAGTGCTTGGATTAAAGGTGTGCATCTGGTTGATGTTTCTGCTTTGAAAATTATTTTCTACATAGAGTTTAAAGATTTGCTATAAATTAGCCAAACATGGTTGCACACACATATAATTCTAGCACTTGGGAGGCAGAGGCAGGAGGATCACAATGAAGGCCAATCTATACTGCATAATACAGTAATACCTTGTCTCAAAAAGCAAAACAAAGCAATAATAACAATAATTAACATTAATTAGCTTGGGCTCAATGGCATGCATTAGTACATTCTGGGAGATGAAGCAGGGAGATTTGAGTCCAGAAATTTAAGGATAGCCTGAGTGGCAACATAGTGAGATTTAGTATTTTTTAAAAAGAAAAAACATGTACAGGGCTAGAAAGATGGCTCAGGAGTTAAGGGCACTGGCTGCTCTCTCAGAGGATCCAGGTTCAATTCCCAGTATCTACATGGTGGCTAAGAACTGTCTGTAACTCCAGTTCCAGATCTAATATCCTCTTCTGGCCTCCTCAGGCAACAGGCATGCACGTGGTAAACATACCTTCATGCAGGCAAAACACACACACACACACACACACACACACACGAGAAAAAAAAATATAAATTTGTTTTTAGAGTCTGTTGTTTTAAATGCATACTTAACAGAATTTAGGCAGGCCAGATTATTTTTATTGTAATAGTAATTTTAGTATTTTAGGACTTACAGGGAAATGAAAGTTTTGAGTAATTAAATTTTAGCTTTGACTAAGATTACATGTCATTTGGGAAAATAATATAAAGCAGAAAAATTGTATAGTTGTAGTTTTGATTCTATTAAGTTAGATTTTTATTAATAAGATCTTGTGTTCCAGAGAGTCTTTATAAATTTACTTCAAAAAGAAGTCGTAGACAGTAGCTCTAAATAAAAAGCTTATGATTATTGCCTTTTCCCCAAGTTCTCTACTTGACTGTCATTTTCCTTGGCATACTCTTTTTGAGGTGGTGGGAAGAGATTCTCTGTATAGATCAGGCTAACCTTGAATTCACAGAGGTCCACTTGCCTCTGCTTCCTGATCAAAGACGTGGGCCACATTTGGGTAGATGGGGAAGGGGAGTGGAGTTAGAGGAGGAGAGTTAGAGGAGGGGAAACTGTAAACTGAATATATTGTATGAAAAAAATCTATTTTCAGAAAGAAAAACAGCATGTGCCACCGAGCCTAGCTTAATAGACTACTTTTATGTCTTATGTCTGTAGATGGGCAGAGAAGTTAGATCGACTAACCAATACAGCAACGAAAGATCCCGAAGGGTTTGTTGGGCATCCTGTAAATGCATTCAAGTTAATGAAACGTCTGAACACTGAATGGAGTGAGTTGGAGAATCTGGTCCTCAAGGATATGTCAGATGGTAAGTTTGAAGAGACTTCAGGACCAAAAACTGATACAGTTCCTAGTACAGCAGGTATTTGTGTTGTAATTGAATTATTGCAAATATATTTGATTTGACAGTGATACTTGAAATCTGAAGCATTCAATTAAAAAATAGTAACTACTAATATTTGTGACAATGTGGGTTCTTTTACCTTTTGATCTACAGAAATTAAGAGTAAAAACATTGGTAGTTGTGTTACAAAGAGGAATGTTAACTGTGTTTTACCTAGTACTTTGTGTTTAGGTAATAAATTTTAAAAAATGCAAGTGTAGATATTAATACTCAAAAGTCTTTGTACATGAAATAATAAAATTGTAGTTGGAGTATTGGTGTTCTAGATAACAACAGAGAAAACCAAGCAAGTAAAAGGATTTTGTAATGTACAGTAGCTCAACTATTTGTTGAATGCATGACTGATTTAAAAGAAAAAGAAAGAAAAAAGATAGATAAAATACTATCTAGACTGTTTATCAGTGTTAGTGAGCAGTAAAGTAAACCTTACAGTCTCTTTATCCATGGTAGTTACAGTTGGCCACCATTCCAAAGTGTGGAAAACTTCAAAACTAAACAAGAACTTGCAAGTTTTGTGGCTTTCTGACCGTGAAATGAACTCTTCTGCTGCCCTGCTGATGTGAGGCCACCTTCCTTGCAGTATATCCCTGCTCTTAGTCCTTAGAAGCCCTCTGTTCTCAGAGCATTGTTGTGGTCTCACATTTCATAGTGTTAAGAAGCCCTTGGAGCACACTTGATCCACACGTGCAAGCATAATGAAGCTGCAATTTGGATGTGTCAGAGAAAAACAATAGTATGTTCCTGTAAGTGATAGCTCTTGACATAGAAATGAAGAGAAAAGACATAGTGCTAGGATCCTTGGTAAGAGTAAGTCTCATATTCATTAAATTATGAACAAGGAAAAAAAATTCTTCATAATTTTGCTGTTGTACCCCAGATCACAAAAGCTATGCTCATACTGCATGATGAGCACCTGTTAGCTACAAAAAATACTGAACTTGTATATGTATGTAATAGAAAAAGCAGTCTATAAAGTTTTCAGCTATTAAAAGTTTTGCAGTAGGTCTCTTGTGGTAAGTATAGAACATTACTACCTATAAAACCATGAAAAGTAATGGCAGATGCTGGTGGATGTTTTTTTTGCCATGAGCAGGTTTTCCCACTATATTAAGAGCTGAGACCATTTATGAGGAAATACACCATTTGTCTCTACACACACACACACACACACACACACACACACACACACACACACCCACCCACCCACCCACCCACCCACCCACCCACCCACCCACCCCCCGGTCTAAAATGCACAAAGCCCTGGGTCTCATCCTCAAGAATCTTTCCCTGACAGATAAAAACATTATATGATTTATATGAAATATATTAAAATCAAACTAACAAATGAATTACTTAATAACTATATAATCCCTAAGGAGAATGGGTTATAAGCACTCTTTAAAAAAAATAAAAATATGATTTAAAATTGTAATAACACAGATGTCACTACTGTAAATAGTTTTGTCATATATAAAACAATTATAGCAATAATAGAGTATTATATTACATGTACTATAATATGTGTTGCATATAACAAATAGCTATAATCACATACACATTTTCTCTTTCTTTGGGAGAACTTAAGCAGTATATTAGGTTTTGTTTTGACACATAAGAAACATAGGGGCCAGATGTAATAGTATACCCAGCACTCAAGAAGCAGAGGCAGGCAGATCTCTGTGAGGTCTAAGCCAGCCTGGTCTAGTTAGACCTTGTCATGAATAAACAACAACAAAAATCCAAACAAACAAAAAACCATAGTCTTCTGTAAAATGTGCTAATTTCATGGGGAAAAGTTAGTTTTAAAATAGAAAATATTAATATAAATGCTAGTCTTCCAGCTATTCACTCATACATCTCCATTATTTTAAAAAATAATCTGATGTGTACTGATCAAAATACATATAGTTGACAATAAATTAATGAAACTATTTACAGTTAGTGTGTTTCTATTAAAAGTCAATGAATTTTTATAGCTTTGCCTCCCGTCACTATTTTTTCTATTTCAAGGCTTTATCTCTAACCTGACCATTCAGAGGCAGTACTTCCCTAATGATGAAGATCAGGTTGGGGCAGCTAAAGCTCTGATTCGTCTGCAAGACACCTACAATCTGGACACAGACACCATCTCAAAGGGCAATCTTCCAGGTAAGAGAATTCTTCTCATCTATCAGTGGTTGTCACCCAGCTGCTCTCTTTAGCCCACTAGGAAAATGTGAGTAATTTTAAATCTAAATATTTGCTTGTGACAGGGTCTCCTGCATACTAGTCCTCCTATTTCATCCTCCTGAGTGGGGATTACAAGCATATACTGCTATACCTGGCTTTCTATCTTACAGGTTTTAAATGTATCTTGTTTTATAGAAATAAAGTCTCTGTCTAGTCCTGGATGGCTTGGAACTCAGAGGTCTGCCTTTTCTTTGCCTCCTGAGTGCTAAGATTAAAGGCTTATACCACTGTCTGGTCTTTCTTTTCTTTTTTAGTGAAGAAAGTTATTTGTTGTTGGCATTTGCCAGGTATTTGGGACTGAGTGGCTCTGAGACAGGAAACTTGCTTATACTGTTCAGCTATTAGACAGTCATCTTCTTTATTAAACCAATTACAACAACAAATCTTCACAGTGTATAAAAGAATTATTCCACAGCAGAGTGTTCAGATTTGTATTTTATTTTCTATTTCTATTAACACTACATTACAACATTTGATAAGATAATAACATTTAAAAGTTGACTTCTGGTTTACAATCCCACATTCAACAGACATTAATTATGCCATATGTGTACATATCAGTACAAAAATTATATAATAAGCAAGATAATACCTTTGTCATTTAAGACACTTATGTTATCAAGATAATGGTACAATGAATGCCTGGAAGGGAAAGTGTGGTGATATTTTGTTTATGATCTAACAAATAAAGCTTGCATGAAGATTGGAGTGCAAAGCTAACCACATAGAAGTTAGCCATAATAGAGGCCAGGCAGTGTTGGTATATGCCTTTAATCCCAGCAGCCACACTAGTTAGCTATAGAGGCCAGACAGTGATGGTACACACCTTTAATCCCAGCACTAGGGAGACAGAGGCAGACAGATCTCTGTTAGTTCAAGGCTACCTTGGGCTACACAAAATTGATTCAGTCTAAAAGAGAAACAGGTGACATGCCACCTTTAATCCCAGCACTAAGGAGATGGAGACAGGAAGGAATATGACTGGGCAGAGGAATATAAGGTGGGAGGAGACAGGAGCTCAGGGCAGTCTGAGAGTGCAGTTGAAGGCAGTCAGTCTTAAGCAGTCTGAGGACAGGATCAACCCTTTGATCTGAACATTGGTAGAGGTAAGAACTTTCTAGTGGCTGCCTGTTTTGCTTCTCTGATCTTCAGCATTAACCCCTATATCTGACTCTGGGTTTTTATTAATACCAATTAGAATTCGAGCTATAAGAGAGCTTTAGTCTATATAATAGGATCATACAGAAGGGATCCTAATTTCAGGCTTCACAGAAGTGAAAATAACTTCTTGGAAGACATATTAAAATAATTGAAGTCTAATGAAGAAAGAAGGCTTTGACCAGGAGAATGGAAAGGAGGTGGACAAGTATAGGCAAGGGAAAAGTATTCTAGACAGAAAGAACATGTCTGAAGGCCATAAAGGAAAGAGAGTATCACATTCAGATAAGTAACATACACTTTTCTTTGTTTGATTGATTGATTTAGTTTTAGGTTTTTGTTTTGTTTTAAGATAGGGTTCTCTGTGTAGACCTGACTATTCTAGAAGTCACTGTAGACCAGGCTGGCCTCAACTCAGAGATCTGCCTGCCTCTGCCTCCTGAGTGCTGGGATTAATGGTGTGCTTCACCACACTGGCTGACAAATACTTTATGTGATTTAACACACAGTTCCATTGGAACGTGCATGAGTTAGGAATGGGATTTGGTTTGAGAGAGTAGTGAGACATGAGGCTAAAGAGGTAAGTAGACATCATCCCTTAGAGAGCTTGTATTATTTCTCCCTTTATTTGTTTGTTTGTTTGTTTGTTTGTTTTCTCCCTATTTGCTCTTGTTTCCTTCATGCCCACCATGGAATATTCTCATTTTCAGGTGCTGTGTTGATTTTTTTTTTTCTTTTTCACTTCTTTTTTTTAAAAAAATACAATTCTGGACAGTCTTCTGTAATAATTGTGCATAGATAATAGCTAAAACAATCATAATCATTTTACCAAAGCAGAATAGCTGAAGATCATGCTTATTCATACAATATTCCCAGAATATTGTATCATTTACAGAATATTTCTGTGATGTCTGCATGTGTTGATGTATATACTCTATACTCTTCCCCCTGATGTGCTTTCCATGGCCCCAAAACACTTAGACTTGCTGAACCATGTGCTCACTTCAGATATGTACAGTAATGAGGATCAACATTTAATATGACTATTTTGTTTCTGGAATTAATATCATATTCAACTATAATAAGTTAGGATTTTTATATCTGTTATGGTATGTGTCCTCTGTCAACTCCAGCTATTAAACTTCATTGCCATGAATTTGAGGCCAGCCTGGGTACATAACATGTACCAGACCATAAAAGATTGTTAAGATTGTTTCTCTTATCAGTTTGTGGTTAGTATTGTCAATTTGACCAAAGTAGAATGCCCTGGGAGGAGATGGGTCTCTGAGCTTGACTGTGGGGGATTGTTGTTATTATTTTAAATTGAAATAGGAAGACTTGCCTTCTATAGGTGGGCTCATTCCCTCACTGGCATTTAATTTAAATTTAACAGGAATTTTTTTGTCATTTTATTTTTTTTTTTTTTGTCATTTCCAAATTTCTTTTTTTTATTTATAATTTTTTATTTAATTTTATATAACAAAGTCCAATTAAATGAAAACAAACATTTATACACAATATTTGGGAATTTGGGCGTCGTTCTTTCCAAACTACTTCCTGCTGGTAAGGGGTGCTGTCTTGGGGGATTCGAAGAAGATTCAGATATCCTAGCTGTAGTCTGTAGGGCTGTTTTGTCCAGCTGTTTTGAATGTAGGATCAGCTTGTACTCTGTTTCAGGCGGTCTGGCATGATCAAACCACATTAGTCTGGAAGGAATCCACATCTTTTCATTTTCTGTGGAAACAAAAATAGAAATCCTTTTCCCCAGTAACTTGTTCTTCAAGTTAAATTTTGGAGTCAAAGCATTTTTTTTTTAAATTTATTATTTTACATGTCGATCCCAGTTCCCTCTCCCTTCCTCCCTCCCTTCCAACCCTCCCTCCCTCCTTCCCTCCCTTTTACCCTCTCTGCCCTCTCACATGCACTCTAAACACCCTCCCCTCCCATCCCCCCACCACAATTCCATATATTTTCACTAATCCTATATCCAACAAAGGGCTGATCTCCAAAATATACAAAGAACTCGGGAAACTAGTCAACAAAACACCAAATAACCCTATTAAAAAATGGGGTACAGAACTGAAGAAAGAATTCTCAATGGAGGAAATCAAAAAGGCTGAAAGACACTTAAGAAAATGTTCCACATCCTTAGCTATCAGGGAAATGCAAATCAAAACAACTTTGAGATACCATCTTACCCCTGCCAGAATGGCTAAAATTAGAAACACCAGTGATGACTTATGTTGGAGAGGATGTGGAGAAAGGGGAACACTCCTCCACTGCTGGTGGGAGTGCAAACTCATACAGCCATTTTGGAGATCAGTATGGCGGTTCCTCAGGAAAATGGGAATTAGTTTACCACAGGACCCGGCAATCCCCCTCTTAGGTGTATACCCAAAGGAGTCACATCCATGCAACAAAGACATTTGTTCAACTATGTTCATAGCAGCACTATTTGTAATAGCAAGAACCTAGAAGCAACCTAGATGCCCCTCAATTGAAGAATGGTTAATGAAGATGTGGCACATCTACACAATGGAATACTACTCTGCAGAAAAAAATAATGGTATCTTGAAATTCGCAGGCAAGTGGATGGCACTTGAAGAAACCATCCTGAATGAGGTAACCCAGTCACAAAAAGAGGAACACAGTATGTTCTCACTCATATATGGATTTTAGACCTATATCAAAGGATCACCAGCCTATAATTCACATCACCAGAGGAACTAGGATACAAGGTGTATTCTAAGAGATTCATATAAAATCCCTCACAGAACTGGGAAGGGACAAGTCCCCCAGAGCTCAGGTGAAGTGGGGGAGGACAGCGAATGGAGAGAGAAGTAGGAGAAAATGAGGGGGAGGAGAGGAAGGCATGTGCGACCAGGAGGATTGAGCCTGGTTAGGAATGGAAGATAGCAAAGAGAGAGAGAGAGAGACAGAGAGAACATAAAAGAGGGAGCCAATATTGGTTTGAAGATAAAGTTGAACACAAAGAAAGGTCGAGAGAACTACAAGACTGCTCCCAACTAACAATCTCAGCTTCCGTGGAAAGGCTATCATAAATGCCCTTCCCGGAGAGTGAGATCAACAACTAACTTCTCCATGGAGCCCTCAACTAATGCCTGTTGAAAATAGGAGCAAACACCCATACATAAACACTGAGTTGAACCCAGAAGCAGATGGAGAGGACAAGACCATGTGGTAGAAGCACATAGAGACAGCTTACCTGAACAAGGAGGAGTTAAGGGCCACTAGACTGATAGGTGGGAAGCCAGCAGGGGACTGCCTCGGGCCCCCCTGAATATGGGTCTCAGCCAGAAGGTCTGAGCAGTCTAAGAGACCTCAGACAGTGGAGCCAGGATGTATCCCTGGTGCACAAAAGGACTTTGCAAACATATCCCCCATGGAGGGATAACTGCCTTATTCTAGAGACAGGAGAGAAGCCCTAGTCCCTACTTCACAGGACCTGTCACATCTACATGACCCCAACTGGATGTCATTTTATTTTTTTATTGAGTTTTTTTGGTTTGGTTTGGTTTTTTGAGACAGGGTTTCTCTGTGTAGCTTTGGAGCCTGTCCTAGAACTAGCTCTTAGAGATTAGGCTGGTCTCAAAATCACAGAGATCCACCTGCCTCTGCCTCCTACATGCTGAGATTAAAGGCATGCTCCACAACTGCCCAGCTGAAAATAATTTTTTTCACATAGTATATTCTGAAAAGTTTCCCCTTCCAGCTCCTCCAGGATCCTTCTTACTTCCTCACCCACCCAAATTCACACCCTTTCTACCGTTAGAATAAAAACAGGCATCTGAAAATTAAAATAAAAACAAACCAAAATAGAACAAAACAACTGGGAGGGGGCAAAAACAAAAAAAGCACAAGAAACACTTATAGACTCTGAGACACATATCTGAACACGTTTAAACCCACAAAAACAAAATTGGAAACAATAACATAAGCTGAAGATCTATAAGGTGTTAAAAAAAAAAAAAAAGGAAGTCCCAGCAAAGCATGTGAGAAAAACACCTCTAAAATACCATGGAATTTATTTGTATTAGCTGTCTACTGCTGGCATAGGGCCTACCCTTAAGTGTGGTTTGTATGCCCATTGAGACTCCTTTGGGGAAAACTCCCTGTATTTCCTCCTTTAAACCCCTTTGCCTCCCCTTCCCTGTTTCATTCTCCCATTCCAATGAACTTTGCATCACCCCCAAACTCCTGTCCATCCATGACTATTGTTTTTCACATTCCTAGGGAGATCCTTTTCCTCCCACTGGTCCCTCATTCTGTATCTAGCTGACTTAACAGCTAATATTCACATGTAATTGGATACATACCACATTTGTCTTTTGGGGTCTAATGTATCTCACTCAGGATGATTTTTTTTTTTTTTTCTAGCTCCATTCATTTAGTTGTGATTTTTTTGTTTTGTTTTGTTTTGTTTTAAAACAGCTGAATAGTGCACTACATTTTCTTTCATCTATTCATCTCCTGATGAACATCTGTTTCCCATTTTTGGCTATTATGAATAGAGTAACAATGAATGTGGTTGAGCAAATGTCTCTTGATATAGAGTCCTTAAGTATATCCAAGAATGGGAATCATACCCAAAAGAAGCAGAGGGTAAGAGATAATCAAATACAAGGCTGAAATCAATAAAATAGAAACCATATAACAACAATAATACAAAAAATCAATGAAATGAAGAGTTGGGTGTTTGAAAAGATCAATAAGATTGGTGAACCCTTAACCAAATTAACTAAGAGAGAGAAGATCCAGATAACTAAGATTAGAGACAAAAAGGAGGAGATAATGGCAGACACCAAGGACTGTTTCTAAAAAATAGTCACAACAGTTTGCTTTCCTTTCTGTACATCTTTCTGTTAATCTCTTGCCAAGATTGTTCCTTAAGCCTAAGGTATATATCTCATTTTTGTTGTTGCTTCTGAGACAGGTATGATTCCTGCTATGTTATATAATAGCATACTTTAACTTGATGTTTCATTTTAGTAACTTGGTAAATGAAAACATCTGCCCACACAGTAACTTGTACACAGATGCAAACACAGAAGTAGATATTGGGGTTAAAGCTGAACACTAGAGAAGCAAAGCAGCCAAGCCACCAGGGAGCTCTTACCTCTACCAAGGCTTGGCAGTCCTATCCGAGACCATGCTCCTTCTTATATTCCTTTCTAGTGCTGGAATTAAAGGCATGGACTCCCAAGTGCTGAGATCGCCCCTGTGTGAGCCTTGAACTCACAAAGATATGTCTGCCTCTGTCTCCTGAATCCTGGGATTAAAGGTGTGTGCCACCATTGCTGGCTTCTGTCACTATTGTGACTGGCTTTGCATTCTGATCTTCAGAAGCTTTATTAGATCATAAACAATATATCACCACATAAGAATAATGTATTAATAATAATAAGCTTATAACATATGCTATATAACATATCCAAATGTTGGGTTCTTTTTCATTTTTAAACATTTATTTGTGTGTGTGCCATAGGGGTGCCATGGCATGCATGTGGAAGTCAGAGTAAAACTTGAGTCAATTCTCCCCTTGCACTGTGAGTTTTAGGGATAAACTCAGTTCTTCAGATTTGGAGGCTAATGCCTTTACATTGGCCTTAGGCTCTTGAGGTACATCCTCTGTACAAACTGTGTAATCCTTGTTATGCTGCATTATTTTGTTTATAAAATCAGGACAATTTTTGCTTTGAATTTCTTTGTTTAGAGATAGGGTCTCTCTGTGTAAATCTGACAGTATATAGACTAGGCTGGCCTTGAATTCACAGAGAATTCACTGCCTGTCTTTACTTCCTGAGTGCTGGGACTAAAGGTGAGTGCTAACACACGCATCTGATTTTTGCTTTTCTTACCACCAGATTACTAAGAAGTTCAAATCAAATTGAAGTAGCACTTGGAAAGTTTATGTAACCCTAAGTAAATATAGTACGATATGAAGATTGCCAACACTCTGTTTTCTTTTCCTAGGAGTGAAACACAAGTCTTTTCTAACAGCTGAGGACTGCTTTGAGTTGGGCAAAGTGGCCTATACGGAAGCAGATTATTACCACACGGAACTGTGGATGGGACAAGCACTAACACAGTTGGAGGAAGGCGAGGTTTCTACCATAGACAAAGTCTCTGTTCTAGATTATTTGAGCTATGCAGTATACCAGCAGGGAGATCTGGATAAGGCACTTTCACTCACTAAGAAGCTTCTTGAACTAGGTATGTTATCTGCCTAATTTACATTATTTACACAGGGGGTGGTGTATTTTATCTGCATATCTTTTTACTTGTCTCTCCAATCACAAGTCTAGTACTTGCTCTACCATTCTTTGTCTTCTCACTATGTATACTCAAAGTAAGCAGTAACTGAGTTTTTCACCTAATAGTATTACAGTAGTTGCTGTGTTCCTCTGCCACTTTTTTCCTCTGGGAATGTAAAAACTGGAATAGCCAGGCGATGGTGGTGTTATGTGTTGTTTTACCGCCGGCCTGGTCCCATAGCCACACCAGCCCCAAATAATACACAGAGACGCTATATTAGATATAAAGCTGTTGGCCTGTTACTAGTGTTTCTTATTGGCTAGCCCTGTCTTAAATATTAACCCATTTCTATTAATCTCAGTATTTCCACATGGTCTTATCTTACCAGAGAGAGGGTCCGGAGTTCTTCTCTCTTGGTCCTACATTTTGAATATCTCCCTACCTCTTCCCGAATTCTCCTTGTCTCCTAGTCCTGCCTATCTTGCTTTCCTATTGGCCAACCAGGCTTTATTCATTAATGAATAAGAGAAAAATATTTACAGAATGACATCTCCCATCAGGTGGTACATTTCTTGAATCTCCAACACCTGGGGAACAGAGGCAGGATATTCTTTGAGTGCAAGGCTAACCTGGTCTACAAAATGAGACCCTATCTCAAAAAAAAAAAAAAAACAGAGTTGATGGAGTTAAAGACAGCTAGTTATAGTAGTTATGGTTATAATAAAGGGTAAGTTACATGTAAAACTTTAGACTCACAAACATAGGATAGATAATAGAATATTTTGTTTAAACTTTTCAAAATATTGCTTAATAACTGTTTTGTTATATATTTTACTATGTTAAAGTTAAAACCTTCCTTTTTATTTAGACAGAAAATGATGGGGGAATGTTCTTTTGTGTGCTGTGAATATATGTTTCTCTTATTGGTTGATGAATAAAGCTGTTTCAGCCAATGAACAGGCAGGATTTAGCCAGGTAGGAAATCCAAAGAAGGATAGAGAAAGGTAGTAGGCAGAGTCAAGAAGACACCATGTAGCTGCTGAGGAAGCAAGAGGTCTGGGCATCGCCAGTAAGCCAAGACCACATGGGGATACAGAGAGTAATAGAAATGGGTTAATAAATAAGAGAGAGCTAGCCAATAAGAAACCTAAGCCATTGTCCAAACAGTTTATAATTTATATAAGCCTCTGTGTTTATTTGGGACTAGGGAGGGCAGATGAAGAACTCAGTTGAAAATGTTTACTTATCATGTGGCCATAGTAATTGCTAATCACTTTCCTTTGAAGAACATTATTCTTTTTGCATTTCATATTGAAAAGTTAGAAAAATGATACGAGAATTTTTAAAAAATATTTTGTGTGTATTTACCTACCTGCGTGTGTGTAGGTGTATTGTGTGTGTAGTGGTCACTAAAGCCAGAAGAGGTTGTCACATCCCTTGAAAGTATGTGGGAGCTAGGAACTGAACCCTGGCCTTTTTCAAGTGCAACAGTGCTCTTAATCACTGAGCCATTTCTCTAGCCACCCAGATCCCTTGATTTCTACCCAAGACCTACTATGCTGCAATTGTTGGAAACAGAGTCTCAGAATATATAAAATAATAAATTCAGGCAGACTTTACATTATGAAGAGAGAACATTTGATTATTTTATGATTGATAATAGATGTTAGAGGAGTAAGACTGTTCCAAACAAATTGACCATCTCAAAGTGAACTTTATGATAATAGGTTTATTTCTTACATGAATAAAGATACTAATTCAAATAACATTTGTTTGTCTTTTGGTATGTTTTTCTCTTGATTTAAATTATACTTTGTATTCCATGTAGAAAATTAACACAGAAAAAAAATCAACTTTTTTCATTATAGTATATAGTCCCTCTATACACATTTACTTTTCTCTCTTATTGTATATCATAATGTACATTGTGATCTATTTCAGAAGAACTAAAAATATTTTATTAAATAAACACTGATTAATGCCACAAGTGATGCCTCTACATCCTGTTCTTTTTATTTCTGTCTTTGTGGTTGTTTGGATTGGTTTTTCCTTACTAGAAAGTAACTAGAAATTATCACTAGCAATTTCTGGGGCAGTTAGTGGATTTTGGCATGTTTGAAAATTTTATCTCTTTAATTTCCTTTTTCCTTCTTAAAAATTTGGATCTAAAGTGTACTTAGCCCTCAGATGTAAATTGGTCTGCATCTGTCTGTGGTGAATATTAGTTATGAAGTGGATCTACTTTGTCTTTGCCTAGTGATTACTTGAAGCCACAAAATGATATTTCCCATGGCTTCAAAAATATAGAGAAGGAACATTTTTTTTTTTTTTTCCTCCTCAAGACAGGGTTTCTCTATATATCCCTTGGCTGTCCTGGAACTCAAGATCCTCCTGCTTCTGCCTCCTAAATGCTAGGATTAAAGGTGTGTGCCACCATGTCCAGCTGTATAGGACTCTACTGTCATTTGACATCAAATTGGACATTGTTTTGAGCTGATCAATAAAGTTCTCAAAGTAGAAGCAGTGATTGCTGCCTAAAGATACAAAACTGCTTCTGTCACAGAGCTGTTTCTGTACAGGGTAGTTATGTGTCCTGATTGACTTGGGCAGTATTAATTTACATCTTGTTTTGGCACCAATAACTCATATTAGTGCCTCCTTTCTCAAAAGTATCTCAATTAGGAAGGTAAACTTTATGTCCCTGTGTATATGTTACTGATTTCTGATGATTGAACAACTGTAAACTTGACCATGTATACTTTTCTCTCTCTAATAGATCCTGAACATCAGAGAGCTAATGGTAACTTAAGATACTTTGAGTATATAATGACTAAAGAAAAAGATACCAATAAATCTGCTTCAGATGACCAATCTGATCAGAAAACTACACCAAAGAAAAAAGAGATTGCTGTGGATTACCTGCCAGAGAGACGGAAGTACGAAATGCTGTGCCGTGGGGAGGGTATCAAAATGGTAAAGTGGAAAAAGTCAATTTTGTGTGTGTGTGTGTGTGTGTGTGTGTGTGTGTGTGTGTGTGTGTATTATATATCAGATAAAAATTAGAATGTTTGCACAAAATAGTGTGCTGTATTGCTTTACTATGGATAAAAATGCTTCATAATGCATACATTACACATTATTTCCCCAAATGAACTGGTTATGGAATCTTCTTTAAAACTGTTATGTGGTACAGACATACATTGTTAGTAAGTCTTTAGAGTGTTTAAGTGTAAATGCTTGAAAAAATGTTTAATTATCTTTCTCTACTAATAAATTGAAGTTGGGCTTTCTATTTTGACATTGAAGTGTGTTGACAGGCTAATCACTAACCATAGATGTGTACATTGCATCATTATGGACAGGTTCATGGCTTCCTAGCAACAAGTTTCTATTTTACTTTGGGAGCTAATGAATAATGCAAAAATAGGAAGACTTTATTAGATCCCTGCATCCTTTTTGTTCATTTAATTTCTAAAGCCAGTGTGTGTGTTAGGCACCTTTGTATCACTGATAAAAATGCCTGAGGCTGACAGCTTTAAAAGGAGGAAAGATTCATTTGGGCTCATAGATTCAGAGATTTCCATCCATATTCCATACCACTCACTGCATCCATTGGCCCATGACAAGGCAGGACATCTTGGAGAGAGTGTATGTGGTGGAGCAGAACTGGCAGCTCAGAAGCAGAGCGCAACAAGGACAGGATTCCCAACGACACCTTCTGGGCACATCCCAGTGACTTTTCATTAGGTCCCATTTTCTAAAAGATCTACCACCTGTCAGCCACATCACAGGCTAGTAACCAAGCTAAGAATTTAGAAGCCATCTCAAGTCAAACTCTACTAATATACATCTCTTAAAGATAACTCGATCTCACTAGGGGCCATTATCTACCTTTACAGATGTATAGAAGTTATACAATAATATCAAATGTCTAGTTAGTTTTCAGATTTCTATGGTGAGCATTTTGTTTTGAAAACAGGATCTCCTATATCACAGACTACCTATTGGCTTGTAATTGTGTGTGTTATTCATTACGGAATTTTGACCTTCTTCTTGTCCTTCTGCATCTATGGCCACACCTAGTTAGTACATTGCTAAGGATTCAACTCAGTGCTTTGTGCATGCTAAGGTCTTTTCCCTTAATAACTTTTAAGCCAGCAAAGTGGAATTAAGAATCCATATAGGATCCTGCTAATTTATATTTATTATTATGCCCCATGAATGTCAGCTCTGCAAATAGAGAAGCATCCCTTTTTCACATTGTTAAATTCATCATTATAAAAGATTTATTTGATATTAAAGCCTTGGATTTGACTCTTGAAGTACATGGAGAAAACCACAAATTATTATGTTACCTAACAGTTAAATGTCATATGTGACATATGTTAAAGGTAAGAATAAAAAAATCATGGTGGCACATGAGTGTAAAACCATTCAGACACCTAAGAGGCTGAGACAAATGGTTTCCAGTTTGAAGTCAGCCTGGGCTATGAGGGACTGTGCCTTTAAAAATGAAGCAATAGCTTATTTCATCCCTGTATGTGCACAAATAGTTGAAGAAAATATTTTTTTGCCTTTTTGTCTGTACTGTTCTCATTCTCAACAATATAAATGCCTGGATCCTTTAAGAATTTACTTTCTCTTTTTTTATAACTACTTATTTTCACTTTTGCTTTTAAAAATATACCATTATTGAACTGAAGAGATAGTTTATTGGTTATGAGTGCTTGCTGTTCCTCCAGTACCCATATTGGGTGTCTCAGAACTCCCTGTAACTCCAAGAGAATTGAAGAACACCCTCTTGTGTTTTATAGGCACTGCACTCAGATGCGCATACTCACATATATACATGTTAAAAACGTGCACACACACAGTATTATAACTGCTGTTTTTACCGTAAGCTTTAACTGTGAAATGATTAGGAAAAGTTCATTTAGTTTAGGGTTTTTTGTTGTTGTTTTGTGTGTGTGGTTTTTTCTCCCTCCTTTTTGAAACTGCGTGTACCTCCTGATTATTTTGGGTTTTGGAGCAATGCTGGACATACTTTTTGTTTCTTTTAAATAAGCATGTAAATGTTATTTGACATTTACAATACCTAAAATTTATTTGATAAGAGAATGGTAGAAACAAACATTTCTTATTTCTTATTTGAGGCCTCCCTCTTCCCTAGAAAATAATTTCTTTTTTTCAGTCCTGGGGATTGAACCCAGTGCCTTTCATATACTAAGTAATCATTCTGCCCCCAAACTGTGTGTCCACAGACACTAAAAATCATTAATAAAATTTTAAAGATCTTAAATGTTTGGTTTGATGCAAGATGTTTGCAGGATACTGCTGCTTGTGTGCTGTTCCAGAGATCATCTGTGTACGTGCAAACATAATTATTGTTTTAACTCAACTAGGAATAGACAGGCATTATTCTAATATATTCATTATTGTCTTTATATTTAGACTCCTCGGAGACAAAAGAAGTTGTTCTGCCGCTATCATGATGGAAACCGGAATCCTAAATTTATTCTGGCTCCAGCCAAACAGGAGGATGAGTGGGACAAGCCTCGTATTATCCGCTTCCATGACATTATTTCTGATGCAGAAATTGAGATTGTCAAAGACTTAGCAAAACCAAGGGTAACTTTTTTTCTTCTCAGTTTACTGAATGTTTGTGTTAATCTTTTCTTTGCAAGTTGACAGGAAGGATAACTAAGGTGGTTATAAATTCAGATGGTTTCAAGTATTATTGCCCCAACATAATGGTGTTAAGTTATAGTTATTCTAGTTCTCTCAGTTTGTTATCAACACAAATAATACATGCTATGGCTGGGCTTTAAAGAGTAAGTAGTGAAAACACAGATTGTGTTCATACATAAGAAATTTGGTTTTTGCTGTCTTACTAGAAGGCCTTCCTACATATTTTGTAGCCTTCAGTACCATTTAAAGCTAAACTTTTTCATACATGGTGTATTTTTATAGTTGTCTTGCTAATTTTAAAAAATAACATTATAGTTCCTAATTTTTGTGTGTGTGTGTATTTATTTATATTGACTTTTAAGTATATGGGTGTTTTGTTTGCATGTGTGTCTGTATACCATGTGTGTGCTAGAGAGTATCAAATCCTCTGGAACTGGGGTTACAGATTGTTGAGTTCTGCCATGTGGGTGCAGGGAATCGAACTTTAGTCCTCTGCGAGAGCAACAAAATGCTCTGAAGAACTGCTGAGCCATGTCTCCTTTCCCCTTAATCTGTCTTAATAAGAAGTATAATGGAATGTGATTTATGCCTAATTCAACACATTTAGAAGCTTGTCTTTTGTGTGAGAATGTGGAGACTACCTCTTTGTCCTTACCTTCCTCCATCTTGTTCTTTAAAACAGCACATCTATTAATAATAAAATAGAAGCTTTTTAGAGATTATTAAATAAATTCAGATTTTTTTTTCTTTTGTAATACATAGGGGTCGATGCATTTCTGTAAAAGTCAAGGTAGTCTGTTTTCTTGTCAGCTGTGTGGTCTCTGTCCCAACTATTCAGCTCTGCCATCCGGCATAAAAGCAGCCAGAGAGAACACGTGAATAAATGCGGTGGTTATGGTACCATCAAGTTTTTCAAGTTTTTACTTCTAAAATCTGGTGGCAGCTGGTTTTTTTGGCTAGAGGGTTTGCTCCATGTGTATATTTGTACTTAGATAAATTTTCATATTTTTTTTAGATTTTCTAATGTTTTAACATAATATTTTTATTGATTATTTCACATCATTCACCCTGATCACTCACTTCCCAGACCTTCCAGGTGCCCTCCACCCTGGTGACCTCTCCCCTAAAAAGGAGAAAAATGTAAATCCAATTTGTGCTGTCCATATAAACTTGAAAGTTTTATAGTTTTATTATTTTTCCAAACTGACACTTTTTGGTTTTATGGAAAAAAAGAAAAACAAAAAGATCACTCTGTAAGTACAAAAATTGATGAGGTACATATGGGTGCTGTCCAGAGACATTCTTGAAAATCAACCGCCAAGCAGAATGTCTCTTAAAATGACTCCGCATTTTTTCATTCTCGTTTGAATTTCTAATTAAGTCCTTTATTTGAAGTCAGACTCAGTTTACCAATATTTCTTGGTAGAATATTTGTTAAGAAATCACTTTTGAATGGAAGGCCTTGATTGATCTCCAAGGAATATTCTTTAGTTGGGATTGTTTTTGATCAGTAAATTCAGTGGCAACTAGTTAGTTTTTTGTCATTTCAGAATTTCCCTCTCATTTTAAATAGTCTGAAATGATTGTCTTGGCTGTCATCTTTCCTTCTAACCCTAGCTACATTGCTTTTCTACCTTGCTGCGGAAAGGCTGTTCTGCTTTATATATTACCACCTGCATATCATCTCTTGAAAAGAAATGCCCTTAAAATAAATTTTAGACGATATTAACCTTTGTAAACATGTCTCACTGGAGTTAAAATCTGAGGTTTTAGACAGTTACAAATAGTCTTTTTGGTTTTGTTTGTTTGTTTTGTTTGTTTGTTTTTACCAGACAGAGTTTCTCTATGTAGCCCCGGGTATCCTTGAACTAGCTCTATAGACCATGCTGGTCTCAAACGCCATCTGTCTCTACTTCCCAAGTGCTGGGATTAAAGGCATGTGCCATCACCTCCCTACACAAATAGCCATTCTAAACAGCAATACATTTTAGGAATTTTTCTTCTCATCACATTCTCTTAACTATTGAAGAAATTTAATTTCCAGTCTTTTCTGTTTGTATGTCCTGTATTCATGCAGTACAACAGCAAGTAAAATAATTTTTAAGAAACACACCAAAAAACTAACTGGCTTTCAAGGCTCAACACAAGGTGATTGGAAGGATATTGTTATTTTCTCAATTTACCCTCTTTTGTTTAAAAGAAAAAGAAATGACTGGCTAAGTAAATGTGATTCATTTTTTTGTCTTGTAATGCAACTATTTTGATGGTTGGCTTCACAGCTGAGGCGAGCCACCATTTCAAACCCAATAACAGGAAACTTGGAGACGGTACATTACAGAATTAGCAAAAGGTAAGAGATTGTATGCTGCATATTTTTCTTCCTAAAAGTTTGAACATCCTACCAGAATTCTTACTCATTTGCAGAAGTAGATCATTTCCAGTCTCCAGCTCAAGTGGCCGCCTTAAATGAGAAGAATAACACATTGATGCATGCTTTGTGTTTCACAAACTTTCCCTTTAACTAGAAGTTCTGTTTTTATCTCTGTTTGACCTCATGTTTCAGGAATTGAGTGCTTTGTATTTTTAAGATCAGATATTAAACACCCAGGAAATTGCCTGGTCCTTTTCTTTCCCCCCTTTGTTATGAGAGTGGGAAATAAAAAGGAGCGGTGGTTGACCTGGAGTAGAGTGCCTCACACCCTTCTTTCTACTGCTTGTCCACTTTTGTCTTTGCCTTTAATCTGTCATTGTCATTATGGAGTAATATATTTTTACTGGAGTTTTTCATCTTAAAAAAAAAGTCACTGGCCCAAAAGGTGGCTGTGGAAGGAGCAATTATGCTTCTGAGCTCAGTCTTCCAAATGACTTTTGATCTCTGTCGACATGGATGATGCAGAGACTGAAAAACAGTATTGTCCTGATGAAAGTTTTAAAATGAGATGAACTAATGTAGAATACTTTTAAAAGTATATTGAAGAACATTAAACTTCTAGACCTGGGGAAAGTTCCTGTGAAACCCACTGCCGCATATCATTTACATACAGTCTCAAATGATTGTAATTTTAAAAAAGTGAAAGGACAATAAATACATTTACAGTCAAATTCTGCCAACCATTTTTCTCCTGACTTAGAAGTGGCTGTTCTTCCTGCCACCTTTCTGAATGTTTTGCTGATTCGAACCATTACCTGCCATGCAGACCAATCGGAATCCTTCCAATCACCTGTGGCTTGGCAAAAAACAAAACTAAGTGAACAAAGCCCAAATGGCCTGCTGGAGTGTAAGCCCTTGTCCTTTCTCTTTTTTCTTTTCGTAGCTGAGCCGAGCTACAGTACATGACCCTGAGACGGGGAAATTGACCACAGCACAGTACAGAGTATCTAAGAGGTAAGGGAGCAATGGAGAAAACTTGAGGCATAATTGGAGAATTCTTTCTTGAGAATCTAATTTTGACAAAGTATATGATAATGTTTTTAAGACCAAGATGTCAGCAAAGGTTTTGAAGTCTGTGCTCAATTTTCATGATGGATAAGTAAATACAGGCAGTTACAGGCATTTTCCAAATCATTGCTAAATATAAAATGCCTGGTAATGCTCTGGCACTGCTAACTGATACATGAGGTGCCTTGTGTTGAGAGAACTTCCTAAAGATTCTCTGCAAAGAGCAAGGCCCAAGGCAAACCCTGCTGTTAGTTCATCTTTGGGTCATCAGTAGCTGTAAAAGAAATGCCTAGAAGGACAGTAAAGCTGTTTCCAATTCCTTGCTCTTTACAACATCAGAAGTAACTTTCAAGAGAGAATCATGGGGTAGCTTGGCTGTATAACTAAGGGCTAAGTGAGGTTAGTACAGCATTGACTACCTATGTGATAAAGGCTTCCCAGAAAACAGAAAAGTCATTGCACTGAGTTCTGTTTGAGTCTAACCCTTAGTAAAATTTTTCCACAGATGCAACAATTATAGAAATAAATAAAAGCCCTGCCCATCTCATTATAATCATTTAAATGTATTTAATATTAATTTCTTAATCAATTGCTTAGGTTAGTGTGTACTAGTAATAGTTGAAATAACTCAGTCTGAAGCTACTACTTTTTCAACTAGTTTTGAAGTTGTTTTCATTGAGAGTGTGTGTGTGTGTGTGTGTGTGTGTTTCTCTGATTTTGTGACTTGGTTCTCTCCTTCCACCTTGCTAAGGCATAGTCTTTTTTGCTACATCTGCCATGCTGTTTACGCAGAACTAACTGGCTCCTAATCTTTGGGAAATTGAGTCTCCTGTCTTTACCTCTCATCTTTGCATAGCAGGGCTGGAATTTTTTATTTTTTGTTTATTTATTTCTTTTACAGAAATGGAACTTAAGCTTTAATGGCATGATCTGAGCTAGTTTGCCTGCCCTAATGAACTATTTTTAACATGCCTTTATGTAACAGGAAATTTATCGTTTTGTCAGGTACATAAATATTTTTGTCCAGAGAACTACCAGGTGATGAATGAACTTTTGAGAATAAAATTATAACTCTAGAATAAGATTTCTCAATATCAATATTTTGACCTTTTAAAAACTTTTTATTGTTACTCTGTAGCACTAGAAGTTAAATGTAGGGCCTCTCATGGTAGACAAATACTCTACCATTGAGCTATGTTTCCAGCCTAAGGTAGCCCAGGCTAACCTTGGACTTTAGTCATCCTTCTTTATCCTCTTCATCTTCCTGGTGGCATGTGCCACCATAGTTGACAACTGGTATTTTGAATCTGTTGTTGTTGTTGGCTATTTGAGCACAGCATCTCTGGTACTCAGTAAATTGTCACAACTAGAGAAGAGTGTGGGGAGAGTCACACTGCTTTTTGTGCCTCGGTAGGACAAGTCCTCACTAACCACCTCTACTCTGGCTTGGCTGAGAACCACTAGAAGAATGAGATAAAAATGCATGTTCTGGGTACAAGGAGGAAGAATGGTGTAAGATTTCCAAGTATTGTGTTCATCTTTTAAAATTTTGTTAAATGACATTTTATTTATGTGCACATGTGAATGTTTGTGTATGGCCATGTACATGCTGCATTCAGTGCACACATGGACATCAGAGGACAACTTGTAAGCTGCTGTGATGGTGCGTGCTCTCAGGAAGCAGAGGCAGAGGGATTTCTATGAATTTGAGGCCACCCTGGTCTGCATATGGAGTTGCAGGGTAACCAGGGCTACACAAAACCACGATTCTTCAGGACATGAGGCTTAGCAGCATTTATACCCTCACTGGTCCTGTTCACATTTTTTAAAGTTAGATAATAGCAAACAACAAATCTTTGTGGTGTTTTGTGTTAAATGAGGAGCAGTCATTTCCTAGAAGTTAATCAACATTTTCTAAGTAGCAGGATGAGATCATTCGAAACTATTAAAGTGTAAGTTTAGTTACCAGTTAAACAGTACAAAGAAATATGTGGATTTTAATGCACTAAAAAAATAAAAGATTAGTGATATAGCAAAAGCAAGGAGGCTAGCTAGGTGACCAGATTCAGCATTGGCATACTCCTTTTATTTTCATTTGTTTGTTTGACAAAGTAAGATTCCATCTATGTCTTAACCATGAGCATAAATGCATCATACATGTTCTGGTTTTCTGTTTCATTCCATACTATTCCTTGGCTCTTGTGCCAAAAAGAAAATGGGAAAAAGAGTGTTTGAGGTATTTTTTTTTTTTTTTTTTTTTTTTTTAGCATGTTCATGACTGAGACCTTTCTAACAGAAGATAGATTACCAAGAAAAAAGTGGACAAATATATTTAATGGTTTAAGACTTTCAGAAATGAAGGCCCAAAGAAACAGAAAACTATATTTTGATAGCATAGATAGTTGAGTTATAATAATGTGATCTAACGATAATAAACTAGAGGACATTAGCTGGGTCTGCTTCTTCAAACACTTGGCATTTCTGTGTCCCGGTCTCACAGTGATCAGAATTCTGTGGCCTGCTTGCCACATTTCAGAGTAGGTCCTGAAACTTACCAGAGACGTGGATGAATTCAACTTTGCCATAGTCTGCTTTAGATAATCAGAGAAGTTATCCTTAAGGAACATGAACAGATAGTAAGGATTTATAGGAACTAATTTGGTTAAATTTGTTCTAAGACATGATTTACAGTGCTTCTGCAAACTATTATAATCATTCTCAATTTCAGGCTAAACCTATACTGATTTTCCATTCTGTTACTAAATTTAAACACATGACCTTCTTCAGCTACCTGTGGCTATTCATGCTCTCAGGAGGCTGAGACCAGGAAATCTGTGAGTTTGACGTCAGCCTGGTGTACAAGGGGGGGGGGGGGTGTGCTGTCTCAAAACGTCCCCCTCTATCAGAACTTGTGTGCATGGATCTGACATTTTTATAGTCATAAAGTTAGAATATTAAGTTCTCTAGGTTTGGATGCTTCAAGGAAGTATTTAAACAAAACTTCAAAGGAGAAAATAGGAAGTAATATGGTTCTATTATAATCTTAATAAAATAAAAAAGTAAAAAACTTTTATGAAGTATTTTGAATTACATTTTGAAAGTTTTCTATATATAAAACCGATGTGATGAAGGAATCCCCAGCCAAGTATATTGTTGGACTCTTAATCAGTTTCAACTTATGTTGAAAGTGAGCCATTCACAAATGTTTGTTTTCTTAAAGTTAACTACTTTCAAACATTTCATGCTTACTTTTTAAGTATTCTAGTTTTATAACCCTGAGAAGTAGCTTTATTGGGTTATGTGGGAGAGACATAGTCTTACTTGCTGTTATACATCCTAAGTGGCAATATATCCTAAGTGGCAACACAACAGAAGACTTGTAGCATTTGATGCCTGAGAATAATTTTGACAAATCTTGGCAAAGTATGGCGTGTTTTAAACAAACTAGCTTTATATTCCAATGACTTTAATATTTATTTTTAAAGAAATGTATCAGAATAAAACATGCTTTGAGAGACAGACCTTAGCTATTAAAGAAGCTTCCCACTGGAAATATTGAGTATATTTTAACAAATAAGGTTTTTTACTATTAGAGGAGAGTTTAATAGATGGATGGATAGATAGGTAGATAGATACAGATACTTATTATTACCAGTGGAAATCAAGTTTTCTTTGTGGTACCGGGGATTGAACCTGTGTACTTGTGTGCCTGGCAAGTGCTTGACCCTGCGCTGTGTCCCTGGCCTTCTTTTACTTTCTATTTAGAGACAGGGTTTTACTAAATTATTGATGCACAGTTTGCCTTGAACATATGATCCTCCAGCCTCAGCCTTCCTAATACTTAGGATTACCTTAGTACACGTCTGAACCACTAGACATTAGTTGTGAAAACCTAAATTTTGAAGTTTATATTAAATTTTAAAGTTAAAACTAAACCAGTATTTGTTTCCCTTATAAATTATAAGACAAAGGTTTCATAAAAGAAAATATGTGTTCTGATGTCAGTTAATATAATAATTCCTTTTGCATTCCAGAAAATGGAATACCTTTGGCAGAACACATATGGAAGCTTGCTACTGTTGAAAAAAAATTAGGCTGTCCTTGGTGGGCACTTGTAGTTTCAGCTACCTGGGAGGCTAAGGCAGGGTTGCTTGAGGTTGCAAGAATTCAAAGTTAGCCTAGGTTTTTATTTATATCACTAACTATATATACCATTGAGCTAGTAAATCATGTCTGAATTTTTTTTAATGAAAATCAAATCCCCCCACCTCCCCATCCCCCTACCCCCAACAAAAACAAAACTTCCCTCATCTATCCACTTATCCAACCAGCAAGAGGTGAGTGAAATTTAAGTTTTTGAAAAGTTCAGTTATATGCTGTGAAAAGACAGTTAAGTTGAGTGAATTCTGAAGTTAACTTGCTATAGCAGAAATCCTGACTATAAAAGTAAACAATCTGCTAAACTAGGAGAAAATGTCTTTGCTTTATTGGATTAATCTTGGAAATAATTTTCAGCTTTTCACTGTAAAGTAATGATTTCTGACAACTGGCATTTATAATGTCATAAACATAATTTGACATTTATGCCTAAAATAAGTTTACTCATGTTGCTAAGGAGCAAGCATAAGAATCAAAAATATTTTTATAATCCTAAGGAAAATATGTAGAATTTGGGGGTTTTGTTTGATTACTGTTGTTGAGACAGAGTCTCTCTATGTAGTCCTGGCTATTCTAGAATTTGCTGTGTAGACCAGACTAGTCCCCAAACTCACAGAGATCATCCTTGTTCTGCCTCCAGAGTGTTGGGCTTAAAGGTGTGCACCACCATCACACCCTGCCCCCCTGCCAGAATGGCATAATTTTGAATGATTTCAAATTGTTTTAAACTGCCCTCTAATGGGTTAAATAGTGGTTTCGAAATGGAGAGAATCAAAGTGGACAGAAGTATAGTATTATTGCTTTATTACCCTACCAAGCCTATAAAATTCTCACTCTAGCCAATTAGTTTTTTCTGTTATGAGCATTTTCCTGCCAGCGTGGTCCCAGAGACCCTATTAGTTATAAAGCTGTTGGCCAATGGCTAGAGCTTCTTATTGGCTAGCTCTGTCTTAAATATTAACCCATTTCTATCAATGTAAGTGTTTCCACATTGTCTTATCTTACCAGAGAGAAGGTCCGCACCTCTTACTCCTCTTGGTCCTATGTTTCGACTCTCTCTACTACATCTCCCAGAATTCTCATCTCCTAGTCCACCTATCTTGCTTCCCTATTGACCAACATTAACCAATAAGAGAAACATATTTACAGAATGACATCTCCCATCAGCTAACCAGCACTTAAAGAATTATTAGAAATTGGAAATTCTGCTCTAGGAACTAGTACTTTAAGCCCAGAATTACCATTTGCCTTTACAAAGGAGCAGTATATTGACTTTATATTAATTGTAACATGTTCGTTTTCACATCTGTTGTGGTAGGAGGTGTGGCAGTGTTAACATCTTCCTGTGGAAATCTATAACTCTCTCCAAAATGGCCCCAACTTACCCTGTCTAACTTCTACAAGTGTGAGAATGCTGCTTCCTCCTCCTCAACCAACATCCCTGTGATACTCAAGATTGAATGCTAAAAGAAAAAAAAAAAAAAAAGAGTCAGGTTTATTTCAAATAGAGGAATTTTGCTTTTAAAAAAATGTAGAAACACTATTTGAAAGTACAAGCCCCATCATGAATCCAAAAGGAAGATATTTGGCTGTTTAATTTTTAATGAAGAATACTCTTAATGGATGAACCATCTCTCCAGCCTTGTTTTTACATTTTTTATTTATGAGTTTGTCTTTTTTTTTTTTTTTTTTTTTTTTTTGAGACAGGACCTCTCTGTAACAGCCTTGCGTGACCTGGAAATTGCTTTGTAGACAAGGCTGGCCTCGAACTCAGAGATCCACCTGGATTAAAGGTGTGAGCCACCACTTCTCGGCATTGTTTCTACTTTTTAAATTTTTACTAAGTTTTTCTTTTTTAGGCAGGGTTTTCTTCTGTAGTTCAGGATGGCTTTAAACTCCCAGTGCTTTCTCAACTTCCCAAATCCTGGGATTGAAGTATCTACTTCAGCCAAGGGCATCAAATTTACCTTACCTAAAATGTGTATTTCAGTTGTTTTAAGTTCTTTTAATTGTGCAATTGTCATTTAATTCTAGCCATTTTTATATAGTAATATTCACTAAACACTAAACACTAATTTCTTTTTTTTATGTTGGTGTACATGTATGTATGTATGTGTAAGCACACCTATATATATGATTTATGTGGAGACCAGAGGTTGATGTTAGGAGTCTTTCTTATTTTCTGTAATTTTTTTTAACTGAAGATCTCTTGCTGAATTTGGAGTCTGCCAGTTTGGCCAGTCTACCCCTTTAATGCCAGAATAATTCATGTTTTTAGATACACCATATTTGTAGTGAGTCTGTTCATAAATTAATGAACATTAAGCTTATTACTTTTTGGTTGTTAATAATGTTGCTATGAACATTTCTGAATTTTATGATTTAATATTTGAGTATCTAAATAGAAATAGAATTGCTGGTGATATAACTGTCTGACATTTAAAGGAAGTGCTAAACTATTTCTGCAATGACTGTACCATTTTTTTTCCTGCCAGCAATTTATGTATAAAACTTATTTAAGCAAGTAATGCCTGGATTTGTTTGCAATAATACTGTATCATCATAGAGCAGCCCCCAGACCCTTTGACCCACTCTACTCTAGTCAGCTCCTATAGTTATGTAGAAGAAATAATTGTTTCCAACTTAATATGTATTCTTCAGAAATGTTTAGTGTAAATAGTGGTGTGCTTCTGCAGTTCCAGCTGTTCCAAAGACTGGGAGGGTAGGATTTCTCAAGCCCAGAAGTTGGAGATGAGGCAGTAAAATGAGAGTATCAAGAGAGAAAAGGAGGGAGGGTGGGAGGAGGACTCTCGATACAGGTAGTAGTATTAATGGTTTCCCTATATTAATGCAATGTTTCATAGAAATGCAAGATGTTTATGTCCTCTAACTGCAGAATGTGTCACCATTAAGAAACTGTATTAGTAAAAATCTCAGACAGGCAGATCAAGTAGATAAGCTGCAAATTGATTATCCTGACTAGGTGTGCAAGTGTACACTAGTTACCCTAGTACTTGGAGACTGAATCAAGGGAAGCTGGAGATAAAGGCCAGCCTGAACTACACAGTGAAACATGGAGAAAACCAAAGGCTGAGAAGGAAGCTTAATGGTAGGACATTGGTTTAGCATTCACAGTGCCCTGGATGGACTTGATCTCTAACACTGTATTTAAAAAGTTTAATATCCTCTGTGTTGCTTTGAAAATTGTAGGTATTGGGCTTTTATCTAATGAAACAGTAGCAATAAATTAATATTTTCATGACCTAGTGCTTGGCTGGCTGGCTATGAAGACCCTGTGGTGTCCAGAATTAATATGAGAATACAAGATCTCACAGGACTGGATGTTTCCACGGCAGAGGAATTACAAGTAAGCAACTGCAGTATCTTAAGTTATTCCTTCTTCTCCAAGAGGTTCTTCCTTTTAGATTTCCTGGCACGGAGTAAGCAGTGCCTGACTTGTATAATACCCGAGGATTATAAGTGACCCTGTAAGCCAAAGCATTCAAAGAAGTTAATAATCTACTGCAGAAATTGAAAAGGAAACATATATATTACAAAATTTACTGTTAATTTTTAAATTTTCAAATTATATTTTTTGTAATATATTTATTTATACACATATGCTGTGGGTCCTCAGGCTTGAACTCAAGTTTCTAGGCTTTGTGGCAGGTGCCTTCACCTACTGAGCCATCCCACTAGTCCCTAATTTTTCTTGTTAATTTGTAGGCCCAGTTAAATGGATAGGGTGAATTTTGGATTTTTAAAAGGTAATCTTTAAATTAATGTACAATTTGTGTGTCATATGTTTTACCTTGGCTATATTTACTTGGTTGTGACCTCATCTCCATGTTTAAGTTTTAGATTTTTTTCACCACCCTAGCAAGCAGCTGTCCATATCCTGAGCAGTAACTTCCTATTCCCCTCCCCTCTTGCTACTTTGTGCTTCTATGAATATACTTATTCTGGGTATTTTAAATATATCACAGTTACTTAATATGTGGCTTTTATAACAGATTTCTTTCACTAAGCATTATGTTGCTAATGTTTATTTATGTTGAAGTATGTATCCCTACTTAATTTCTTTTTACAGCTTGATCCCTTTTGTGGACTCACCTTTTATCTGTCTGTTTATCAGCTGGTGGACATCTGGGTTACTTCTATTTCCCCCCCTCCCCCCCCCCCCGCTACTGTGAATAATTCTGCATACAAGTTTTTGTAGGAACATGGGAAGTTCCCATGTGTGTTTTGTGAGTGTATGTACAAATGAGAGTGAACTCATGTGGTAGTCCTGCATTTAACATCTGAAGAGCTTCAAACTGTTTTCCAAAGTGGGTGCTGTAGCAATCCATGAAGGTTCCAAGCCTTTTGCCTCCCTAACACTTTGCTTTTCCAGTGTTAGTGCAGCATGCACAGTGAGTTTAAACTTCTGTTTCATGGGTTCACTAGCATATTCCTGATGAATAATGATAATGAACATATGTTCACAGGCTTATTGATCATTTCTATTCTGTTAGTATTCTAGATACTTGTCCCTTACCAGATAAATGACTTGTAGATATTAAATTCTGTCTGTAACCTGTCTTCACGTTTTCAGTGTTGTCCATTAACACAAGTTTTAACTTCTGCGTGGTTCATGTGTTTGCACACCGATGAGGAAGTCAGTTAGGTATCCTACTCTCTCACTCTCAGCCCTACTCACTTGAGATGGGGTCTCACTGAAGCTGGAGATCACTGACTAGGAGTTTGGCTAGCCAGTGAGCCACAGTGACCCTCCTGTCCCTGCTGCAAACCCTACCTCACTTCCCAGTGCTGGGCTTACAATATACATAGTTGTGCCCTGCTTTTACAAACATGGGTGCCAGGAACCTGTGACATGAGCTTAGACCAAATTCCTCCTTTGTTAGGGTGTCATGGTGACCACCTGAAGTATCAGAACCCTACAGCAGGAATGTGTGGCCTTCTTCTTCCCTTTAACTAGAATGTGTAAAAGGAAATTTATTTGGGCTGGTGAGTAGGCTGAGTGACTAAGAACACTTGTTGCTCTTCCAGAGGATCAGGGCTCAATTCCCAGCATCCACATGGCAGCTTACTGTCCCTAGAACTCTATTTCCAGAGGACCTGATGCCACCTCCTTACCTTCATAGGTTTCAGTACATATAATCATGAAGGCACACACACAGAGTCTGCCATCCTATGTATGAGGTCAAAATGGGGCCTCTTAAGAATTTTTTGAATATTAATCTTGTTTCTCCCCACACCTATTCTTTTTGATACTAGGGGTTGGACTCAGAACCTCAGCCATGTTATTCAAACTCTGGGCCCTTGAGTGGTAATATTAATAGTTCTTACTCATATTTTATTTCTTTTCTTCAGGTAGCAAATTATGGAGTTGGAGGACAGTATGAGCCCCATTTTGACTTTGCACGGGTATGTGAAATTGTAACCAAATCCACTTAAGTTTAGGTACTCTGTGTTTAAAGACACATCTTCATGATGCTTGTTTAAGATAGGCAGAGTTTATTGGGGAGGGTGCAACTGTAATGAAGATTTCAGTGAGAGACAAAGCTGAACTCCAGTTTATAGGGCAGTAGGTAGAAGATAACTGAGCAGTAATTGGATTGTCTTTCTGAAGCAGGAACAGGAGCCTGGTGAGAGATGAGATACTGAGGATTGGGGTGGGGGGGAAGCATGAAAAACTCAGTCATTGGGGCCCAACTGAGGAGAGCGCTCAGAGGAACTTGGTTAAATGGGGTCAGGAAGAATACCTTTGTTGATTCTGTCTTCACATAAAAACTGTTGCCTGCTTGAAAGTTGTGCCAGAGGATCCTGGAAGCTGCAGAAAACAACAACCACTCAAAAAAAAAAAAAAAAGACATTGGGCATTGGTGAGCCTGGAAGAATGAAACATTTCTTTACTCCCCAGACACACTGAACAAAGACGCCTGGAGACTGGACAGTTGGGGATGAAGCATGAAACCAGCACTATCAGTGTAGAAAAGAGGGGCTTGAAATACCTGCTCTGACAGGGGAGCTGTTCTCTGGCAGTTTTATTAAAGTGTAGATCTGGCCTCATGAGAAGGAGTAAAGTCACTTGGTTTGGTAATATTCCTCAGGGTGGTAAAAAAATCACTGGATAAGGTGCAGCTGAGGCAGCAGGCGGACACACACTGAATCAAATCACTGTATACCATGTGTGTGGCCCTTAAAAGATAAGGGCAGCAAAAATTTGAAAAATAAGCAAAGGGAAGTTCTAAATAGAAAAAAAAAAAAAATACATGTAACTTAAAGCTGAGAGAACATATGAATTGAGAACATATTTAACAAAGAGACAAAGCATGTCTGTAAGGAGTAAGTTTTTCCACCCGCTGATGGTCTTGTCTTGCTGCTGCGCCAGCCCCAAATAATGCACAGAGACTCTGTATGGCCAGTTACTTGTTTCTTATCGGCTAGCTCTGTCTTAAGTATTAACCCATTTCTGTTAATCTCCACATGGTCTTATCTTACCGGAGAGAGATCCTGCCAGCATTCTGCTCTCTCAGTCTTCCATCTTGACTCCTCCTTCCTCTTTCCTCCTATCCTAGTCCCGCCTATCTTGCTTTCCTATTGGCCAACAGTGCTTTATTCATTAAACCAGTATGAGAAATATATATATAGAATGACATCTCCCATCATCTCATCTTTTCTGTCTAAATAAAAAGAAGGGTTTTAATCTTAACTTAGCAAAATATATAACACAACAGTTATCAAGTAAGAATCACAGTTAACACTATTTAGTCCATTAACATTTAGCAAGATTAAAAGAAACTATTCTATCATCTATCCTATATTTGTGAGTCTAAAGTCCTCTATGTAACTTATCTTTAAGCTTAACTAAGGAAAACTATAACCATAACTATCTGTCTTCAATTCCTTCAAAGACCACAGAAGGATAGTATATAAACTCTAGAAATGACATCTTGCCTTGTCAGTCACCTGAAGTTCTTCTGTAATCTTCCATCTTTAGCCCATAGGCCATAGTGTGTCCAGCAGACTCTTCAGCAAAGCAGGAAACTTTAAACTGTCTTCTTGTATTGGCAATTTGTCAGTCATTTTTCTCTGTGTCCTGCAGACTGTCTGGCAGACTCTTCCATGAAGCAGGAACTCTGTAGCAATGTCCATCTTGAATCAGCAGTCACTTTTCTATGGGTCCTGCATGCCCAGTTTATTCAGCATCAAGTCAAACAGTCCAGACAAGAGCAGTATCTTGTCCAAATGGCTAGTTTTGCCATATTGAAAGTAATCTCCATAACAAGTTTCTTCAATGTCCATCTTCCTTTCTGACACAGGTGGTGTTGCCAGGAACAATTATGTCTCACTGTCAAGAAAATCCTAAACCATTTTAAATGCCATATTCTGTAGGTCTTTAAAAGGTTTGAAGAATGCCTATTCATCTTAAATACATCTCTATATATCTAGAAAACCTAACTAACTAAACTACAAGTTTTGACTATTATAGGTAACTGACTATAATATGTACTGAATTATACATTACATTTCTAAGTGAGCTATATAAACACAATACCTAAACAAGTATATCACAAAATTGACATTAAATTGTATCAATAAATGAAAATCCATTCCAAAACAAAGTATTCATATCTATATCATAATCCCTTTTTACCTTTAAAAAGATTGGTTATGGTCATTAACCATTTATAACCAAGCCCATTTAAATGAAAACATTTATAAACAATATTTGGGAATTTGGGCATCGTTCTTTCCAAACTGCTTCCTGCTGGTAGGGGGCACTGTCATGGGGATCCTAAGAAGATGCAGAAATCCTGGCTGTAGTCTGCAAGGCTGGCTTGTCTCAACTGTTTTGAATGTTGGATCACCTACGACTCTGTTTCAGGGGATCTGTCTTGCTCAAACCACATTAGTCTAGAAGGAATCCACAGCTTTTCATTTTCTGTGGAAACAAAAATAGAAGAAATACTTTTCCCCAGTAACTTATCCTTAGACAATTTTGAAGTCAAAGCATTTTTAAAATATATAAATTGAATTAATCCAGCAGCATTTCTTTTAACAGTTGTTGTTTCCTCAGCAGTCAAACAATACAAAGACAATATAATATCATACAGAATCCAGAAACATATATATACAGAATGACATCTCTCATAGGTCATTATCAAAGCCTCATTTAATCAGGTCTGACCATAATCACTGACAGTTCTATTACTATGCTGTGTGGTTCTACAAACTCCCCTCTTCATCACTCTCCAGGGTAGAAACAGTCCTGTCTGGAGCAGCTCTTTATTGGTTTATTTTTCTGTGGAATCCTGCAAAAACACTTTTGCCTCCTTTTGTCTTATTCCCCATACTGAAACATGTCAGGGCTTTTGGTGGTTTCAGGTTAAAACCCCACAATACAAAACTAAAACATACTATTTTGAGATAATCATTGATTCCTAGGATGTAGCAAATAAGTGTACCTTGTGTGTACCTTCCCCACCCCAAGATGATGTCTTGTATGACTGTAGCACAGCACCAAATCAGGAGCGCACCATTGGTGTGTTCATAGCACTCACTGTTGCTTCACCAATTCTGCTCATTTCTGCAAGTGGCTCTGCACTCTGATACATGTGACTTCTATGGAATTCCTGTCATGTTCGAGGCATATCACTATGTCTCATAAGCCTCCCCTGCAGTACTGTTCTTACACTCACCTTTCCTTCTCCCATCCTTAATTTCTATAACACCATTACACAGAACACACTATCAGAAAACAGATCTAGAGTTTGTTTTCTCCAATAATTTTGCCAAAAGTATCCAATGTGTGGGCTGTGTCGAGCACTTGAGATGCTAGTGTGAACACAGCATACTGGCAGTATATTTGGGGTATATTTTTTAACTTACTACTATTGTGCTGTGGAGTTAGTCACATTACTGAGTTTTATCATTATACTCACTCCTTTATCCACAGAAAGATGAGCCAGATGCTTTCCAAGAGCTTGGGACAGGAAATAGAATTGCTACATGGCTGTTCTATGTAAGTTACAGTTAAATTTTTGCTTTGACATTCATTGCATGACTCATTGATTTTGGTATGTTATGTGAAGTTGATTTGGTGGCACTCCTATTGACTACATAATGAGTTCAAAGCCAGCCTGGGTCCCAAAGTAGAAAAAGGTCTGGGGGTGTGGCTCCATGATTTGTCTAGCATTCATAAAGGCCTGGATTTGATATCATAAGCCAGACATCTGCAATCTCAGTACTTGGAAGGCAGAAGGATCAGGTCATCTTGGGTATTTAATGAGTTTGAGGCCAACATTGACTATAAGACCTTGTCTCAAAGGGGAAAGGGTGTTGTTTAAAAATTATTGCCTGGTGGTGGTGGTCCTGCCTTTAATCCCAGCACTCAGGAGGCAGAGCAGACAGATAGATCTCTTGTGAGTTCAAGGCCTGCTTGGTCTACAGTGTAAGTTCCAGGACAACCAGAGCTATTACACAGAACTCCTGTCTCAAAACACAAAACCAAACAACAAGAAATTATTGATAGTCCTAATGCTTAGAGATGTCCAGTATTTTTAGAATATGGACTATATACTATATATGCACACATGATAAATGTAAGTGTACAGTTAATATGCTAAACAAACACTTTGCCTCTGAGCTATATGGCCAACTCCAAAATTAATATTTGTTCTATTTGTCTAACTTTTCTGTGATATGACAAATCACCCCCAAATGATTTTTCCCTAGGGTGTCAGACCCATGTTCTCATGTATGTTCTAAATGGATTTAAATAATCATTATTCCCTTCTGTAGTAGAGATGTTAATTGGATTTATAATGCCAAGATATCTGTTCAGATCTCTCAATATAGTTTTATTCATTTGTCCAGCACTGGATCTTCTGGAAGCTTAGGCAGATGGTTCTCTGTTGGCTACCATACTTAACAGTTCTAGTCATCCATGTGGTCTGGGCATCCTCATGCTTGGAGAGTAGCCATCCTCCCCAAAAGAAAATTTTACATGGACATGACATTTTTACAGCCTATCTTTAGAAGTCATATAGTCCTTTCTCTGTTTTTAAATTGCACCTGCCAGGGAAGCACTCTACCTCTGGACTATAGCCTCAGTTCTGCCCACTTAAAATGAATTTCGAATCATGTAAAAAGAGCAGGAAGTGACTAAAGCTGTAGCTCAGAATCCTGGGTTGAATCTCGAACACTGGGAGGACAAAGTGAAAAAAACCAAAACACCCATGTAGTTAAGATTATGTAGTTGGGATGTTATTACATTTGGTTTTACAGTGTGGTAGTGGTGTAACTCTTATTTTTAAAATAGGTGGTTTAGCAGGGCGCACAATGTTTTTAATTATGATATAGTAAATAGCTGGACCTTGTTTGCTATTTTCTGCTTGTATTTAGAAATTCCCACACTATGATAGGTTTCCTTTGTGCATGTGCTGTTTCAGTTAATTAAGGTTTGTTACCTTTATGATAACCTTACATAATTCTTTAATCTTGTGATTTTTCTTTTCATTTAAATTATCTAAGGGTAAATTTTCTCTTGTAGATGAGTGATGTATCCGCTGGAGGAGCTACTGTATTCCCTGAAGTAGGAGCCAGTGTTTGGCCCAAAAAAGTAAGCTTACTTTGTTTGTGGGGCTTGGTTTTGTTGAGTCTTTTTCTCTGAAGTAGGTTTGTGGCCCAGGGAGTGAGTTTAGTTACATTTTGTTTATTTTTATTTTATTAGTCTTTTCCTGTATATATGTGTTAGATCCTGGAGTTACGGACAGTGGTGAGCTGCCATGTTGGGAATTGAACCTGGTCCTATGGGCCATCTCTCAACCCCTAGTTACATTTTTAGACTACTTTCATCTCCAAGTAAAGGATGGGGTAAGGAACAAGGGTGATAATTGAGTTCTAATTTCCAAGATTTGACTTTCTTATAATTCTCTCTGAATTGCTGGACTATTCTCTAAAAGAGTCTTTTGTCAACCACCTTTAAGGTATTAACTCCCATCTAATCAAGAAAACATTTCAAAGCAGTACACTCACAGAATTAGAGAACACTGTAAGCTCCTGTAGAAGGAACAGGAAAATGTAAGTGCTGTAAAAAGTGAAAACCTAGCACTTTATTTGATAATTTTAAATTGTTCTTCACAGGGCACTGCTGTCTTCTGGTATAACCTGTTTGCCAGTGGAGAAGGAGATTACAGTACACGGCATGCAGCCTGTCCTGTGCTAGTTGGAAACAAATGGGGTAAATGGTTCCTGTATTCTTTGAAAAAGGAGTTTTTTATTTCACTCTGAAACTATAACCTGTGCCTTAAAACAAAATACCTCCTCCTGTGACTTGCCATATGGCTTCACATCGTATGGGATTCAGCTAAGCCTGTCCTTGATCTGAATATAAATTTGCATCCCATAGGTGATCATTCTCATGAGGTTGTTTTTTGAGGATAGGTGCTCCATTTCACCCGATTGTTCAAGAAGCATGAGATCAGTTGACTTCTCAAGGTCACAGTATGAGACCTGTACTGATGGGTTAGTCAGAATGTGGTACAGTGCAGACTAATAACTGAGATGGAAAAGGAGAGAATGCTATCTCCCTGACCTGATAGGGCTTTCGTAAGCTGTAGTCTAATTTTTGTTTCCTTGGCACACAGCAGTTCCTTTTTAGACATGTTAAGTACCAGACTAGATTTGGTCTAAGGCTAGAGCAGAACCTGGCTTTAGTGCAATAAAGAGGCCCTTCTTTCAGACCATGTAGGTATTGGATTGCCCCCATTAATAACTTAAAAAGAAAAAGAAACAGGTTTAATATATATTAATCCAGTATGTCAGTGGCTAGCCTCAAATTCACAGAGATCCACCTGCCTCTGTCTCCCAAGTGCTGGGATTAAAGGTGTGTACCATCACTATTTGGCCAGTGGTCACATTTCAAATGCTCACAGTCTGCATATGTCTAGTGGTTATAACATAATCACTGCAAGGAGGCCTGCTCAGCAAGACCTTACAATCCCCTCGCTGTTAATGATGCTTATGAACTGTTGGACCACAGTGAGCACAGGCTAGCACAGGCTGACTGGGTGGGGGGATCAGCTTTAAAAGCTCTTCTCCATTGTGGAAATGGTCTAAGCAGCAGCAAAAAGTTTTGCCTCAAAAAGAAAAAAATGGCCAGTTGATGAATAAAGACTGGATACTAAAGAGGTGACAGTAACAAGTGTAGGCAGCTTAGTTCAGATATTTGTACAATTCTGTAATGTTAACTTACTCTGTAATACCAGAAATAGGGTAGAAAATAAATTTTGGGGAGGGGATCCTTAAACTACATACACACACACATACACAACACATATGTATATGTGTGTGTGTGTACATATATTGGATGTAGTGGTACATGTATTTAATGCCAGCACTCAGGATGCAGATTCAGGCAGTTTTGAATTCAAGGATAGCCTGGTCTACACAGTAAATTCCAGGACAAACAGGGCTCACACAGAAAAACCCATTTCAAAAACAAAACATTTTGGAACCACGACAACTGTCTTGAGTATGTGATGGCAACCACTGATGAGAGAATTGTGTTCGCTTTACAGTCTTTGGAATTTGGAGGTAGTACTTGGAAGCAGTGCAAGTGTTCCATTCCATCCATGCTGTTCCTTTTGTAGCTCACTCTAAGATGAATTAGATATACATATATGAAATCTGATGTTTATCCAGCATCTGCCTTTATCTTAAGGTTTTAATGTATGTTGAAACTGTTAATCTACAAGCTTTTGGATGAGAAGATTCTTACTGGTGTTTTTTTTTTTTTTTTTTTTGGTTTTTTTCTTCTTCTCACAGTATCCAACAAATGGCTGCATGAACGTGGACAAGAATTTCGAAGACCATGCACCCTGTCAGAACTGGAATGACAGACAAGCTCCCCTTCCTCCTGTTGTCCTCTAATGCGCCTGGCACAATTGCTGATAATAACTTTCAGACGTTTACAGATGACTAACACTCCATGATTAATTCGGTCATGAATCTTATCCCATGTTTTGTCTGTGGACAATTACCACATTACGTAAAATTTTACAGTTCATTTGTTATCACAGGATACGGGACGTTTAAAATGAGGAATCCTGATTTTGTCATTTAAAAGACCTTTTTGGTTCAATTTAAAAAAAAAAAAAAAAAAAAAAAAAAAAGGACAAACAGTTGTAGGTTTTGCCATATCTCAGTAGATGGTGGGTCAAGTGAGGCTGTGCATGGTGTAGACGCCTATCTACCTGCTCTCCCTTTGCTGGGTTGCTGAGACAAGTGATAAACTAAGATCCTAGTCTGGGTCCTAAGGCATTTGCCTCCATCTATTATTCCATGTTTATAATTCTTATTTAAAGAAACTATTTTTACCAAATCCCCCTTCTCACCACTGGTGAATTCAACTGGTTTGAGATTACTTTGTTCTAAAAAGTCATGTATAACGGAACTGACCCTCACAGCTAAGATGCTCAGTCTCGGACGTTTTCTTCAATGACTGATTGTGTCTGTTCCAAGTGCTAATACCCTGCCTTGTGTGCCTGCTACAGCAGGTGGTGGTGTTGGCATTCTGATTAAACACTGTGCCTTAGGAGACTGGGAGTTAAAATGTACAGGTCCTTGTAATGACGAGGGAGTTGATTTTTTAAAAGAAACTGTTTTATAAAAAGCCAAAATGTCTTTTTTTTTTAATTCTGAAACGTGTTATAACAGTGACCTATTTATGATCTTAAATCTTTTTTTAAAAATGTCTCTGTGTGGTATTTTCATGTATAAATTGAAACATAAAATAACAATGCTCACAGGTTAGTATACATTACTCCTTTACTACATAGAACTTAGGTTTTAGTATTTGTGGTTAGACATTTAGTCAACAAAACATGTTTCCTTGGGGCGGTATAGCTTGCCTGACCCACTCCAGACTCTGAGACACTAACAAAGTCTACTTTCTTCATAGATAGTCATGCTGTGATTATGAATCTTACAACAATAATTATACTTACACTTTCTCTTATTCAAAAGCCTGGTTGTGGTCTTGTCTCTGAGGGAATTCTTCATTCACTCAGGGCTCTGGCTCTTTAATTCTGTGGGAAAGAAGGTATTAAAATGAACTGTTCTGTACTCGCTTCGGCAGCACATATATTAAAACGAACTGTTTCATCACAAAGATTTTAGCAAAAAATAAGTTTAGCACTGATTTTGCAGCCAAAGATATTTACAAACAGGCTGGGTAGGCATGGTGGCCCACATCTTTGGTCCCAGCACTTGGAAGGCAGAGGCAAAAGTAAGTTCTACGTCAGCCAGGGCTACCTAGAGAGATCTTGTCTCAAAAACAGACAAGCAAAAAAACTTATTTTAGGCTGGTGATGTACTCAGACATGGAGTAAGCACTTGGGTTCCATTCCACTATGAAAGACCTACCCCCACACCAATTAACATAAACAACAAATTCTACAGGTAAAATGGGGATTTCAAGGCCAAACAACAAATTCTACAGGTAAAATGGGGATTTCAAGGCCAGAAAATGGTTTTGTCACAATGTGCTAGCAACTAGATTATAAAAAGAGTAAGATAACAATATATAAAAGGAAATTGTGTCTATATCTTAATATAAAGTACATACCAGCCTGTCTCTTCCTTCTTGAGATATTCTGATGAGAACATCTGGCATATAGAGAAAGGTGCCTTTGGCATGAGTGCAGTTTGCAGTCTCAGGTGCAATGTGCAATCCCCAACCAGAAACCACAGGGTTTAAGAGGGAAAGAGGGCAAATTGTTGAAACCAGGAATGGCCTGTAATCAGGTGAGGAAACACTTGGCCTCAACAATCTTTTAAGGAATTTAACACAGGGTTGCTGTCAGGAAAATAAATGTGTTGTCTAGGATGTGTGAAAACCGTTTTTATGTAAACATTCTTCAAAACTTGATTTCCTACCAGAAGTTAACATCCAAAATTTGTTTCTGGGTATGATATGAAGGCTCATAACAGGATTATTTGCAATCACCATAAAGTGAAAGCAACCTAAGTACAGAAATAGACCAGTGGGGAAAAGGTGGCATATATGTTAAGCCAAAAAGGAAATTTCTAACACATGTTCAACATGGAAGAAGGCACACAAATACTCTTCCTATCCTCTGAGATACCTAGAGTAGTCAAATGCAAAGGAAGTAGATGGTTGTCTGTGAGTTAGTATTTAATGGGTATGTTGTACAACAATATTATACACTTGATAATATTCTAAATATATTCTTCGATTTTAGACTTATTTCGTATGTATGAGTGTTTTGTCTGCATGTATGTGTGTGTACCACATGTGAACTTGGTGTCCTTGGAGATCAGAAGGAGTCATCAGACCCCCTAGAACCAGTTATGGTTGGTTGGTAACCACAATGTTGGTGTTGGGATTGAACTCTGGTCCTCTGTAAGAGCAACAAGTTCTCGTAAACCTGTGAGCCACAACATGTCTTCAGTGCCTAACTACACACAAAAATTAACATGTGAGAGGTGTAGCTCAGTGGTTGGGCATGCCCAAGGTCCTGGGTTCAAGCCTTCATTCTCTCCAAAACAGGGGGGGGGGGGGAATCAGTATCAGCCTTAAGTGTTTGACAACTTAAACAGTTGCATTACAATTCTAGAAGCCCTCCGAATTGAAAGCAAGGGTGCCTTTACATCCATGCTTCTACTTAATAGCGTCAGTCACATTGGCCAAAGGTGGAAGCAACCCTTTTGAGTATACACCTGCAATTGAATGATGAGCAAAGGTAAAAACAGAGATGGTTTTAAAAATTAATCTGGAATCGTAGAACTCAAGAGAACTGACAAACCTTGAAAAATAGCAGAACAAAACAAGACAGTAGAAGAACTTTTAAAGAAAAAAATTCAAGTAAGTCAGGCATGGTGCTGCACACCTTTCACCCCAATACACTCAGACTTTGAAGCCAGCCAGTCTACATAGTGAGGCTTTGCTTCAAGTAAATATTCAAGACAACTTTAAAAATACACTACATATGGTTTAGAAACAGATACTATATATCTGGCATCAGGTACAATGGCCAACATGAATACACTTGAATACACTTGTAAATTTGCCAGATCTTAAAGAGAATGAAAACTGGCCATATAAGCAAACTTAATGACTTAAAAGAGAAAAATCAGATTATAAGGCATTGGTAGCAACACCTACAGAAAAGGAATATACTTAGCATGGGTTGGGGTGATGGCTCAAGACTCAACTTTGGAGCTCCAGAACTCATAAATGTCAGATGAGCACGGCAGCCCTCATCTAAGATGGAGATGGAATCCCCAGGACAATCCAATCAGAATTGCTGAATTCCAGGTCCCAGTCACAGCATAAAGCTATCTGGGAATCCACCTAATATCAGTTTACACAGCTGGCCTCCACAGGCACATACCTAGGTACCTGCACTGTCACGTATATGTAAGGGCATAAGCAACACACAAAAATTTCTATATCTACTCAGTCCATAGACATCTGTCAACATACAGGAAATCAGACAAGTCCTTTTTCCGAGATCTACTAGAAGACAGCTGTGACCTCTTGAATAGACATTATGGTCAATGAATATGCTATCAAATCTATGGGATACATCACAAAGGATGGTATCAGTGTTTGGTGATTGGGGAGTTTGTCTGTGTAGTCTTGGCTGTCCTGGAACTTGTTTTTTAGACCAGGCTGGCCTGCCTCTGCCTCCCTAATGCTGGAATTAAAGGTGTATGCCATCAAAGAATGTTTTTCATTATGAGATTCAGACCAACCTCACACTCATGAACCCCCCTGGCCCCAGAGCTGATTGTGGACCTGTACCATCATGCTCGGCTACTGTTGGTGAGTTTTAAGTCTGTTTTTAGTGTTGTCATAGGAGCCTGTTAAAGAAGACACCCAAAGTTAGTGGAATAGGATACTTAAGGAGAAATTTGTTAGAAAAAATAAGTCATTTTTCTACCCTACAAAACACACAATGGAATTTTATGGACAAGAAAAGAGGTTAAAGTCAACAACAATCTGTATGGTTCTATGTGTGTGGAATGTCCAGACTAAGCACATCTATAGAGACAAAATAGGGAGAGGGAAGGATTAGAGACCTGATAGCTAAGGCATTCTTTAGTTGGTAATGAAAACATTTCTACTTTGTGTAAAATGAGTGGGGGACCTAGGAGGATCAGAAATTCGAGGTCATCTTCTGCTACATAGTGAGTTCAAGGCTATCCTGGAACACAAGAGATCCTGTCTCAAAAACAATAAATGGGTGAAAATGTTAAGTTCTATTGACAGCAATCCTATGACTAAGCCATTGAGTGAAAACTATACTGATTAATAACTATATAAAGCATACACTTCAAGTTTGTGAATTGGATGGTATGAAATATATATCTCAAAACTGTTTAAGAGCTAGAAAAACAGCAGAAATAAATATAAGCTAGACCAATTATAGAGAAATTTAAAGAAGCTAAAACCTATATTACTACAAGTGATAAACCCCTAGCTTAACTAACACAAGCAAACTATCAGGCATGAATTAGATAAAACTACAGATCCTACAGAACTTAAAGGGGTATTGGTTTATTATTTTATTAGCATCTTTATGACTAATCAGACATATTGTGAATAAATTATTAAAATCTCAAGAAAAATTTTGAATATCCCTATTGAGTAAAGAAATTAAAGATTTTTTTTAACCAAAAAGCAATACAGAGTTTTAGATGGCATCACTAATCTCTACCACATAAGGAATACTGTACACAAATGGCTTCAGAAGATCTATAATTTCCAACTCACTTTAAGAAACATTGGCCTGGTGGCGATGGCACATGCCTTTAACCACTTGGGAGGCAGAGGCAGGTGGATCTCTCTGAGTTCGAGACTAACCTGGTCTACAGACTGAGTTCCAGGACTCAGTTATACAGAGAAACCCTGTCTCAAACTCCCTATCCCCCAAGAAAGAAAGATTGTCCTTGATCTCTAACCAGACTAAGTCTAAGGATCAGTATCTCTCAGAAATAGATACAAAATACTCTTACATCTAACCAACAATAAGTAGAAAAAATTATGTTTAACTGAAAAACAAAACTTACTGAAATATGCTTAAAAATACACTAACAAGTCCAACAATTAAATCACAAAGTTGGGCCAGCAGAATAGCTCTGGGGGTAAAGGCTCTTGCTGCTTAGCCTGACTACCAGAGTTCAGTCTCAGAAGTTCACAGGGTAGGAAAGAACAAACTCACACAATTTATACTCTGACTTCATACACATGCTATGGCACACACACATCTCCTCTCACACACAGAAGAGTTGGTGAGAGCTCATGGAGACAGGATAACCATTTCAGCCTGAGGTAGCGGCTCTGGCAGGTTCGATTTGTAAGAACAAAATACCCAGTCTGTCCAGTCTGTCGTCAGACTGATGAGCAAACCCAGAGCCCCTAAGAACTCCAGAGAGGTGGAAATACAGTTGTCTTTCTCAGACTCTATGCCTTTTTGCTAAGAAGTGGCTTGTTTCCCAGGATGCAGTTTGAAAGCCCATCTTTTTAGCAGGTTGATTGTGTCCTGAGCTGAAGATGTTCCCTGAACATCAGGGATGGCGAGCACTGGCGGACACTTCCAGTTCCATCATCCCAGCTCCTTCCAGACTTTCCCATAATCCCGACACTGTTCTTTGTTCGCCATGTCCTAAAATGGCCCTGTCCAGGTTGGGTGGCTGGCTCTGATTAAAAAGTTAAGGAGAGTGGAG